TAAGTGGGATTGATGCGCGACGAAACTGGAAACTTCTGATAAGATGGTGTTGTGGGGTATTGTTGTCGGAGAGAACGTTTCAGGAAATATGTTAGTAAGGAAAGTGAACAGTAGGTCGATGGAAAGGGAAACGAAACAGAAAGCTCAGTTTACTGAAACATAGGACTATGTAAAGCGATTCGGGTGGACAATATTTCGAGAGATGAAGGTGAGTTTATACATGAGAGATAGAATGACAGAGAATTAGGAGACTGCTATAATAAGTGATGTTAGGCATTATGATAATAATTGGAGTGAAGGTGGTAGCTAATCAACACTAAGTCACATACACACCATGCTACTTAATAGTTGTGAGTAATATGAATCTGAGAGAGTGATAATCAAAAGTGATGAGGGCAATGTGAGGAGAATCACCACCGAAGTCTGAGATTTGGAGTAGGTGTTGTGAACAGAGGGCGATGGATAATCTGTCTTAGACTTGTATATAGCAGTGAATTGATTGCATGGTCGCGGTTGTGTCTTTCCACAAACTGTTGACAGATATTCTCCTGTGCATGAAGTGCATGTCTCTTGTGGTGGAATATTTAACGTACAGTGTGGCATTCACAGATTATCACCTGAGGATATGTGGGCAGATCATGAGATTGAGGAAGTGGATTTGTGTAGAGATTTGGTATTTGTGTTAATATATATTTCATATCTGAGTTTATCTGTCCAGATATTTGAAACCAAGTTCATTTGGTACAGCTCTCCAAGGAGAATTTGTGATTGGTTTATTCCCTTTTCTGAGATAATGGATGCAATTGAGCATCAGTTGTTGATTTCAGGAGTATGAATTTCGTTTTGTGATTCCAGGCATATGGACACCTAATAAGGATAAGGACTTTTCTATTCACGGAAATACTAGAGACTCATTTTTTGAAACTAAAAAGGACCACATTTTTCATTCCACCTCTCATGGGATTCGCTTTCTTACTGGATTTAATGTGGCGAACTATGATTTGATAAGTGGATGTGGTGCAATATGACGATGAACTTTCAGAGAATGGATGGCTAAATGGAAGTTGAATCACCGTATGAACGAATAGCTTCGCTTATGACTGTCTTTTAAGCAAATTAAAATGCTGTGATATCCATTTATTGCTCCACTGTTAACAATCGCCCTCGATAACATACCTTGTCATTCCAGAAACTTAATCAATCGCATTATGAGCTCTAATCTCAAGTCATTATTAATCATTTTCAGCCAAGATCTTTTCATCTAACATCTTTTAAGTTCCTCGACAAAAAATATTTATAATCATCAGGCCGGCATAGGTTGAACCGACAATAAAACTCTAGGGGATTTGGACCGGTGGACAATCTATGTCCACGCGAAAGCCAACAATTTGGCGGTGGCGGCATTTTGAGTAAAAATGAGAGCTTATTGTCGATTATAGAGTCAGCTTAAAACGACCCAAGTGGACAGAGTGAATTGTAGATGCGCTTCTGAAGACCTATTTTCCACTTGGAACTCAAAAGAATTGTAATAATATTGTAATACTTTTCAGAACAATGAGATATTTGACAGTCATCCTACTGACTGAAATTGGAAGAAATAACTAACAATATCTTCATTAAAATCAAGGAGTTATAAAGTGTAATCATCCAGTTCTCAAACGTTAAAGTGTTATATTCAAAATACGTTGGTCTGAAATAGGCTCATTAGTATCCCTAGTACTTGATCATTTCCATCCGAATATATTGTGCGTCCGATGGTTTTCATGGTTAACATAAAGTGAGCTAATGAAATCTATGTGATTCTTGGCTGAGATAGATAAAAATCTGATGCATATTTATAAAATTCATCATTTCAACATAATCAAATTTGGCATTTTTGGAAACTTAAGATTATTTCATCAACAGATTACGGAGGCGAGTTTAAAATCGGAATGAATCGGAAGTCGACACCTCCAAATAATCGCCTAATTTTCGAATTTAGTAATATCATCAATGCAGAGTTTTCACTATCTGCTAATGATTTGAATAAAGCCAAAAATTCATTTTATATCTAGATGATTTGAAAAAAATGTAATCTTATAAATGGAAGTTTTCAACCGAAACGCCTTTTGAAAATTCTCAGTAAGAATGATGCACAAAAAATACGGAAAAAGTGTCGTCTACTCGCGTTTCATATCACTAAAGGCATCTTCGGATAACATTCCAAAACTTAATTGTCGGTAACGTCATTCCGTTCTAATTTCCCGCCTCTGTATTTTTTGCAAATATTTCGATTAATATGGAAGTTTCAACTTCTGAGATGATACAAAGTGTATTTGAGGATGTTAAGCTAACCGACCTAGTAGAAGTCGTAGACCTTTGAGAATATTAGTAAACAAACGGGTTTTGTATAGACACCCACTTGAAAGTGTTAAGGGAAAACTACTGCAGTGTATATAACATAAGATTTGCACATGACGAGGAAAAATAAGAAATAATCAGACAACACTCTGGTGCCTAGCAAATATACGGAGGGAAATGGAGATGGATCGCACACCACAGAATGACATCACACGCCAAAAACTCGAGTGTAACCCGAATGGGAAGCTGCGGTTGGGAAGTTCGAGGGTGAAATGTAAGAGATCATGTGAACAGAAAACGAAAGCTTGTGAACAAGCATGAAGATGGATGAAATTGATGACATAGAAACAAATGCAGTAGAAATGTTCAGGTGAAGTTTTATGTTCCGCACAGAATGTAAGGAATAAATATCATAAAAGGATTGATGCTGTCACCTTTTAAATAAGACAATAAGGTTTTTATTCACACAAAGAATGACTACAAAATTATCTTCAATGAAATTAGCTGAAAATTACAGAATAAACTTTCCACGTTTGCGACTCCAAGAAATCATTGGATATGGCTGTTTCATACGGAAATTGTGACAATGACAATTAACTGCCTTCCATAATCTAACATATTTTTACAGCTGTTACATTATCTAATACCAAGTAACCTGTATAAATGTCAGTATCACATAATACATACGTGCATACTGTAATGCAGACAGTGCTAATAACATGTTAACGTTACCTATTCTGTCCAAAAAACAATCGAAGCAAGTCCCTCATATTTTGTATTTTATGCGATCATATGTCTTTAGTTTGAATCTGATCACTGCTGCTAAACAAGTTCTGGCAATTTACGGCAGACTTTCAGAAAAAAGGTGTCCAGTTTATCTGACATGCTGGTATTTTAATACCTCACATACATAATCACATAATATCACTGTCTAGAACAGTAAGTTGAAACCTTAACTATGAAATCTGCAATAAAAAGTTGAAACTTAGTTTCAAAGTTCATATGATCTAAAGGTATAATTTTCTGTGTACTGAAATTAATTAATCTAGTAAACTCGGTGTATGATGAATGCTTCTAGTGTAACTCAGTAATCTGATGGAAGTATCCCAACAAATGCGAAAAATTTCATTGTCTTTCTAAATATATATTGACTGAATAATAGTATCAATAATAATATTCAAATTAATCTGAAAGGATCAATTTCAAAAGCAGCCTGAGTCCTCAAAGAATATCATAGATAAAAATGGTTGAATTTCTGTGAATTAGTGAATGTAAGATAAAACCAACTGGTTCATGCTGACGGATAAATACTGCTGTAGCTTTATAAGTTATATGCTTGTAATACCTGCGAAGTAATTCCCAAGAGTAACTATTAGTACTGTAGAAAATTCATAAGTTGGATGATATTGCATTCTGTGCATAATTCCAAGCATTCCACCTTTATCATGGTCAAATGCCTTCAAACTGTTTCAAGCATTATAAGATAGTGATTTTTGAATTTATTTTATACCTCCGACGTTTTCATTACTTTGAGAAATACTTGAAAATTCATGTAACGGTCTAGACATTCGTCGTTTTACACACAAAGGTACAGCAGCAGGTATTGTATAAATTACAGTTGCTTTCCTTCTCTGTTCTTCTTCTCCAAACGTTCTGTCAGTGACATTTATTTCATGAACACAGTTTTGATGACGAACCTTCAACACTAACAATGCATATTCCACTGTCTTAAGATATCATTCACTCAGCTATTGTTAAACTTTCGGTAAACCATTTGTTAATCAATAATGTTTTGTGTAGCAGCAAATTAGCTTCAAATAATTTTCGTCTCGACAGAAGACGTAAATAATTATGTAAACTACTCCAGTCAAGTTCCAAGATTTTGTTTCTTCAAAATGAGATTTTACGGCAAATAGTAATCATCATTCACTAAGTAGACTGGGGCTACTGTTTTTACTACTGCTTACTAAGTTCTTACGGTTGGCACAATATCCTTAATGGATTATTCGGCTACGTTTCTTCCAGCATCCATGTTTTCTTCAAATTTTCGACCGCCAGTGGAGTTGTTCTTTTTGCTATAACTGAAGTTGTGGTTTGAGAGTAAAATAGATACCTTTAGTGCATTAGCATCGCACCACCCACAGTCTCCTGTCATATCACCAGTCATATCACACCAGGGGATTTTAATAATCTGCGATTTCTTTAAAATTATTATGCAAGTATCTACTATGAGTTCCTATTGTGATATGTGTTGTCAAATAGCTGGTAATAAATCGGATCTCTTGTTATATAAGTGAGAATTGTGGAATATTTAACTTACCTAGCCAGTTATTATAAGTAATGACAGTATATCACGCCATAAAAACATTATACCTATTTTAAGATTTCATGTAAACGTGAATGAAAGGGGGGTGGTGGTATATAAACAGCTTGACAATTCATAGTGTAAATGCTTCAGCTAAGAAATGTTCACAAAATTTGTCGTCAGCAGGTTATAATTGTAACGAAAATCACACAGCTACCGCTTTTTCTCGAATTCACATGATTTATCATTCAAATTTGATGAATACGTTTTACACATTCATATTAACCAATGAAAAAAGAAGTTTATAAATGATTTCGTCTATAAAAGCTGATAGCATTCATGTATACTTTACTCTTCATCCAAGATGATCAGTAAAATAACTGTCGTGTGTTTGTTAGCAATTTTTAGCCTGCAAATTGCAGCATCGAAACAAGAGAATGCAGGTAAGTTATTTTGTAGTTTTTGTCATTACTTAAGAGAAATGTTGATTATTTTGTTCACGGACGACAATTTTAAATCTCCGAATATTTTTATTATAACTGTGGGTTCCAAGTGGGACAACAACACGTAACCATTTCACATTGTTCTTTGAGGTTTCTTTTTGACTGCCCGCACGAATGACAATAAGCTCTCATTTCTTCTACACATGATCTTTTCTATTTAAACCTCGAGTCTACACCCAAACTGTTGCTTCCCACTCAAGTTCCACTGAACTGCACAACGTTCAATGTCACTCAATAGTCTTCTCTAAGTATGTCCAATTCACCTTCATTATTTTCAGCAAACATGTTAGTTAATATCTTCTTGGTTGGTCCACTGAACTGCTAAAGATACTTGTTGTTTATCCCTCCTGAGTGACTATTTAATCTTCATTACGGAGGCAGCAAAGGTAGCTGTTGATGGAAGTCTGTAGCAAGCTTTTGAAAATGCTTTAGGTAACACTCATGGAGATTTTCTGAACCATATAGAAGCACCAACTTGTTTAGTATTAGTGTTGAAGATTCAGATCGTGTTCTTTATGCTGAGTGGAGAATATTTCCACATTGATTTCAGCTTAATGAAGGTCTATCTTGCTTTTGTAATCATCTGTGTTGTCTGTAGTTTAAAAAGCATTCCCTAGGTAACTGATTTACGTTTGTTGTTGTTGGTTCTTTGAGTTACTGGTATTTTCTCTAAAAACAAAATAGTCACGTTAAGAATATTGGCGAAATTCACCTGAAACATTCCGATAGTTAATAAGTTTTTAGACTGTTCAGATCAAATGAATATTAGGATGGGACACACTAATATTCCGCAAATTAGAACCCCCAGATATTTTAATTTGGCTTCAGTGTCACTGACCAATATCAGAAAGAAAAGTTTGCAAATCATCCATATTTAAGGCAGGGTAAATATATTACCTGAGTTAATTTTTCTGAAAATGTGATTAATACCTCTTTATAATTAGTAGATATTTAAAATTGTCTGAAATATGCAGATTATATGGTGAAAAATAAGGGAGGGATTCCACATACTGGATTAACAACCTGACCTTGTTTTTTCAAAGTTAAGTTCACAAAGAACTCCATTCAGATATTAAGAACATAGTCATGGAGGCAAGTAACTGAAATGACTGCTGGGAATCAACAGCGATGGAGAAGCGCCAACGAAACCGTATGTTTCACTCAGGATGCGAGGAGCGGACAATAAACAATACAATAAAATTTATTCGCAAAGATATTATTTCTTCTCTGAATTTGTTGATTTCCAAGTTTGAAAAATTATACGTTGAGTACTTTTCAAGTATTGGTTTTGTTATAGGATTTCATCATGAGCTGACATTGGTTAGAGAACCATTGGAAAACCTGGAAGTACTGGACAGCTGTTTCGTCAGTTGTAACCAATCAACAAAATCCCTACAAACCAATACTTGAATATTGGATTTGTGCGGATTATCGTTGATTGGTTGGATGATTTCATAGTGAGCTGACATCGGTTAGAGAACCATTGGAAAACCAACTGGGAGTACTCGACAGCTGTTTCGTCCCAGTTCGTAACTCTTCACAGAACGCACCCGCCAACAGGGTTCGAACCCAAAACCTTCTGATTACAAGGCGAGCTATCTCGTAGACCGTTAATCCACTGCGACTCGATCCAATGACCAGCCCATGAATTCCAACTTCTTCCAATTCATGACATCAGTAACTTGGGGGAATTTCTTTTGTCAATATTGAGATGTTTTTGATAATTATGTAAGCACATTCTATAATTTTTTGTGTGCGTCGGTGGCACAGTGGTTAGGACTCTCGCCGACCACGCACATGGTCTGAGGTCCGATCCCCTGCCAACGCACACCTGATATCTATGGTCGGCCTGCAAAATTTGGGCTACCGATATCCATGCTGAAATTCCATACTTGTACCAAAAATACAGTGTGGAATCAAACTGTAATCAAAAATAAAATAAAAATGAATAAAAAAATACTTCAAAGTAAGGGTATATTAACAAATCTATTTTGAATTCTTCTGACTCTTGCTACACACCTATTTTATATAATGAGAGGCTTCAGTTACTAGTCATTATCTGTAAATAATGTTTGAAAAGAACATTAATTGTCTATCTTAAACCAAAACATATTTCTCCTTTAGTATTCAGTAGATTAGCATGACAAACATTGGCTAAAATTATAACGTTCTCCTGAATTTTACAATCTCATCTTTGCAAATGATAATTTTCTCTAGCTAAATGTTTTCTGCTTAAAAAGGACAGTAATTTTTCACAAACTAAAGGAGAGGTAGTGATTTCTTTCTGTATGCATTTTGTGAACAAACTCCATGAGACGCTGATTAATACTTCAATTAGAGTACCATTCCATTCATTTGTCATGAAAACAAAAGTCTCACCATATTTTTTGACGAATTAATTGGATGAAATATCGGTTAGTGTAATAAAAAAGGTGAAATATTAGAAGTGATAGCTTAAATTTATTGGTCAATTAATTAATTAAGCTAAACTGTCATGATATGAAAGAATTTACTCATTTTTCGACATATGACTTTATATATGCAGTTCAAGTTTCAATTAAACCGTGAGTTTCATTTGCATGTTCATTTTAGTGATTTACTAAAACAACTTTCTCAAATTTAAAATAAATAAATAAAAAGTTCAAATAAATCTAACACAAATTCTACTTTTTAAAGAGACGTTAAAAGAGCCAATGAAAGAGATCTGCTAAGGAAACTTACAAATTAATGCTTAAGCTACTTATTCGAATCATACATTTTAGAAAAACGTCCCTATAAGTTGTTTAGTAGACAGATAAAAGTCACAAAATCTAACTTCAGAATTGAATCAACTGATAGGTGGATTAGAAGAACTGATTTTCATTCATTTTTGATTTTTACACACATCTGATCAGGAGTAAAATGTAATTCAGTTAAATTATCTGGTATTATTATCATATCAACTTGATATGATTATGAGCAATAATTTGTGCTCGAAACGTCATCAGTTAATATTACTGTACAACAATGTGTGATTTATCAAAATAAAAAGAACTTCTGAGGGATTTCGAATGTTTACACATGTTAAAATAAGGTGATGATACATTGTAGTATTGCATAGTATTTTCGAAATACTGATTCTTAGTGAGATCAGCGTTTATACACACTCGCATTTAATTATGCAAATGATACGATTCACACAAATAGATTATAACTAAATTTCAATGATAAGTATTTTGTTTTCAAGAATTGGTTTGTGAGTAATTTGTTTGATTGGTTGGAGGATTTTATAATGAGCTGACATCAGTTAAATAACCATTGGTAAGTCTGCAGGGAGTCCTGGACAGCTGTCTCATCCATACTAGTTTGAGAGTCTTCATCAGCACGCACCGACGGACAGGGCTGGAACCCAGGACCTTCTGGGTACAAGGCAAGGTTGTAGACGATTAAGTTAGTGGGATCCAATCCGATGGCTAGCCCATGAATTCCAATTTCTACCAAGTCACGAGATAGCACAACCACTTGACAATATCTTCGATGAGTGACCGTCCTCTCCTTCGACCTGCTGTACCCTGCTGATCATGGCTTCCCACTAGAACCCCAGGAAACTGCCTGAATAAGGCCAGTCGCTAGTGAGCACCGAAATATTACCAAGACAAATAACTCATCATTGTGCGTACACTATTGAAAAAATAATTATAATTTATTTGATCTATTCCACAATGCTCAAACTTTCCGCTGACATTAATGATTTACAGTTTTATTTGTTTTATATTTTTAATTATAAAATTATCTAGGAAACACTGGCTTGATATATTGTAAGTACCGCGTATTTCGTCTTTCCCTTGTACCGTAGTTAAGTACACAGATACTCTGATTGTGAAATAGTTTTTTCCTTCCAAATTACTGCCTACTACTGGAACTGAAAGCGTCGGTGGTACAGTGGTAGAATGCTCACCAACCACGCCTCATGTGGTCCGGGGTTCGAGCCCCGGCCACCAACGAACTCCTTCATCTTACTAAGCCAGGATTAAGACTGGTACAGAGGGAAGGTTAGGTATGAGGCTAGCAACCCCATCCGGTAAAAACAGACACTACTGCTGCCGAAACTTCAAGCCTCTAGCTTGAAGCCCTATGTTCCACTGGGAACGTAAAGGAATAAAAAGATATATTGGACCTGAAAGATCAGTATACATTTTCCTGGCGCGAGAGATTTTATTCTACACGCTTGTGAAGATGAATTAATTTTGAAAAATATTTTTTTTAATTAACGGACCTATATCTTATATTAATAACAATTCTAATAACAACAGCTTCATTATGCACAATAAGTTTGCAGAAAATGCATAATTTTCAGCCCAGTTTACAACAAAATATTTTCTCTTTATCCAGGAGTTTCAAGTAAAACAGCCATCTCCAATACATCATGTGATGCAATGATGTTAGATCTGAAAAATAAAATGATCCTCTGCGGTATTTCCCTTTGATCCTCCAGAAGTGAGCGACAGTAGGTTACAAGCCAATTAAAAATGTTTATGAGTACATTTTGCGAACCACAGGCATTATTGGATGATTATAACAAGGAGAACTAAAGAAAATAAGATACATCATCCCGGATTGAAATTCAGGTGGCCCAGGGATTCAAGCAGGCCACCATATCGCTTCGATCACCCACCAAAGTCCATGCGAAATAAAAGTTTAAACGTTTTTGTCACGCTATATTATTTATTTTATTTTATTATAGCTTGACTCCACATTGTATTTTTGATGAAAGAACGGAATTTTCAGCATGTGATATCGGTAGCACAAATTTAGCAGACCAACCATGGATATCAGGGGTGCGTCGGCAGGGGATCGAACCCGGGACCATGTGAGGGATCGGCAAACGTCCTAACCGCTGGGTATAAGACACCTGGTCACAATCGTTTGGTCGAGAGAGACAAATGAACCGGATCGAGCTGCAGTTAGTTACTATCATCTGTTTGAAATATAAGTAAACTTATCGAAATAAAATTGTTGAATTCTTAACAAATATTTTCACTAAAAAACAATGGCAGACTATTTTTTAAAATATAAAAGCCATTGAAATATTCGTCTAAAGAAATCTGTTGAAGTTAGAAGAGATCCATGAGGCAGTTGTACTGAGAATGGTTAGCAGCTCTCCATTCTCAATCTCTTTGTCTTTATTGAATTAGAAAAATGTCAAAAACATGTTGCATTGTTATTACAGAAGTATATTTTCGTCAAAATATTTAAACTGAGTTTCTACACACAAAAATACATTGTGTCAAAGATGAATCGACGGATTATGCTTGACCACAAATACCGCTGAATATATTTGTCCACATATTATTGTAAATCAACATTTTGAAGCCGGAAATGGCTTCAGTGGCATGGTACCTACAATAAACACTGATTACTGAACATACCTCACGAAAATAGTCATAAACATTTCTGTGCGTCGGGGGCACAGTGGTTAGGACTCTCGCCGACCATGAACATGGTCCGGGGTTCCATCTCCTGCCAACTCACCCCCGAATTCGATAGTCGGCCTGCAAAATTTGGGCTACTGAAATCATATGCTGAAAATTCCATACCTGTACCAAAAAATGAGTTATGGAATAAAGCTGTAATAAAAAAATAAACACAAATAAAATAAATCGATTTCGATTCTAGTTACTTCATAAATGTTGTACTTGAAGTAATTACTCTATCTAAGTTTTTATTTTACATGCTGATACACTCTGTAAACAATGTCCAACTTTCGACTGGCATACAATTCATCTTAACTTTAAACGAACAATGTTAGTTAAGGTCACCTTATAGCATTTGCATTCTGTACCATTGGTGATTAGTCAGAAATATTTGTTTCTCATTCTATTTGATTGTGAAACAATGAAACAACCATAATCACTGCTAAGTTCCTCCATCAAATGGGGCATCAGTATTCGTTTAAACTGAGTTATAAAATGAAGCAAATAATGTTTTTGATGTAGCTGTGTTCTCTGAAGCTTTCATTGTCTTACTAGGCAACATCTTCAGCGCATACTTCAATTTGAAGTGAGCTCTTAAATTTCTCCACCAGTTTATTAGTCTTTTCTCCTGGGGGCCTTGGACGTGATTGGTTGCTTTTGTTTGTTTTCACACTCTCTAGGCTACATGTATTGGTACTGGTTGTTTCCTTGATCTGAAGTTGGACTTTTTGTGCATGAGATTTCCCTCTTTTGGATTGATAAATTTTGTCTGTCATTGTGACTGTTAATTGCCTATTCACTGGAATACCAGGTTTGTAAAAACTCTCTGGTGTTCTTGGTGTTTCCTCTGCCTAATGTTTGAACGTTGTCCCAGTCGAATCGATGTCCGTGGCTATGTGTATGCAGCAACATTAGGGGATGAATATCGTGTGTTTTGACAGCTATTTTTTTTCGTGGATACGGAGACGAAAAGGGTGCCTACTTCGGCAGAAGCATCACTTTCTAAAAGTTTGAAGAGTCTCACAGTAATTCCTGAGATGTCTTTCATATATGATAAGGTGATTTTCTTTCTGTTGTCCTTGATGGCTTTTGATTTGGTTGGTTGGCTAGGGGATTTATGTCTTTTAATGAAGTTCTGTGGATATCAATTCTTTTGGAAGACGTACATAAGACATCTTTCTTCAATTTTCCTTAAGCCAGGAGTGATGTAATGAGTCCTGGCCTTCTTGAATAATGTTTGTATACAATTCCTATAGCGTGTTATTGGATTGTTGCTGTTGTAATTTAGGATTTGGTCTGTGTGAGTTGATTTTCTATAAACTGGGGTTTCTAATTCCCCTGTGTTTGTTAGCTCTCGGATTCTTCTTCTCTTGTGAATTTGATGTCGTTGAAGACGTTGTTAATTAAGTTGTGAGTTTTATCCAACCTGTTTATTTGATTATTATGATTGTGTCATCTACGTAATGTATCCAAATTTTTGGGTTTGATCTTTGGTAGAATTATGTTTTCGAATCTCTGCATCACTGCTGCTTCTGCAATCAAACCCGAAATGGGCGATCCCATGCGTGTTCCTCTAATTTGTTCACATATTTGGTCGTTGAATTGGAAGAACGTTGTTAGGCATAGGTTTATGCATTCCATCCAACTTGTGTGTTGCATTTTTACTTGTTGTGGGAGGTGTTCGTCGTTGCTAAGTAATTGTTCCATGGTCTTTTTTGCTAGTTTCCGTCCATTTGAGGTATATAATGCTGTGACATCGAAGGATACCGTTATTTCTTTGTCGTCTATTTCAAAAGATGACGTATCCTAACGTATCTTAATGTTGAACATTTCTCTGTTAAACATTACTAACTTGTATCATGAAATAAACAAACGTCACTTCCACATATCTCTGAAATAGTTTTTTGAAATTTATGTGATGCACTTTGTCCATAACATTTTAATCGATGAAACTTGAAAGTTACCAAATTCTTTTTTTCAGTCTGGGACTCCTAGGAGAACTGTGAGTACATTAAAAAAACTTAAACTGCCTGCTCGATGAGAATATTTCACATTATTCATTGTGAACTGCGTTAAAGTATACATGAACATATGTTTGAAGACAAATCTTAAAGGTGAATCACAAATGACGATCATTTTGTAGTCAACAAGTGAAGTTCAGTATTCATCATCTCGCTCAGGATTTAAGGGATTTTTTTAAGCTTAATGTATTATAATCAACATTTTTCTCAGTTGATTATTGCTCCTTTGACTACGATGCTTTTTTTATCCAACTGTAAATAAAAACACACAATATAAGACTGGTATACAGCCAAAGTAAAGTGAACAGCAATGAAACTAAACAGTTTATTTCACTCAAGTTTAGATTTAACTGATGTTAGGGTGAGAGCTTCCCTGGTCATTAATACATCACTGTATAAAGAGACTGACAACCAATATGCTCAGGCAGCTTTTGATTAAAAATGTTGGCAAAAAATTGTTTTGCTTAAGACAGTAGTCAATTCATTGAACTGGTCACTAGCATTACAATTTAATATTTAATTCTTCAAAGTCGTGTATTACACATATTATACAGTAATCAGAATTAAAAGGAATCCAGTAGATTCTTAGAATTTACAAAAACATCATGGAGACTTAAATTCATGAAGATATACGAAAGGGAAATCAACTATTATTGATATTTATGTTAACTTTGTTTTCAGTCTCTCTGGACTTAGTGAAATGTAAGTTTCAGACATTCACAGCACGGGGTCTCTTTATATTTTTTATATTAATTTCTGCAAAATTGGGAGATAATTATTTTTCATTCATAAACAATGATCACCACTTGTTTCAATTAATTTCATTCAAGCTGTACATTCATAATTTTTGTATCTGTTGCTATAGTGATGTAACATTTTTGATGGAAAAGTAAAGAGAAATTAGAATCAGATGGTTTCAACATTTTAGCAGCAAACTTAGTTACACTGACCCTTACTAGATGCTCACTCAAAAATACTATTTTACTGATTTACAGGACTAAATATACCATAAAAGTGTAAGTGTAGCTCTGTTTATATGTTCAATCAATGTAACAATCGTGGTAAGGAAGATTATTGAATTCTATGATCATATATTGTCTTCTACAGAACTATTAATCAATTAACATTCATGTTAGTGTTCAGTCGTCCGGAATAACAATCGACATGTTTATCGATATAAAGACAGTGAATTGTTTTATAGCCAACAAAACTTTTTGATTAAAATTTGACAAGTATTAATATTGAAGCAACATGGTATGAAAGATATTTATCTAGGGAATGTGAATGAAATCAGATCCCAAAATAACTTTCCTGTATGCCATTAGAAAAAGATAAAATCACTGTGTCTTTTAACAAGACGAAAACTAGTAGTTATGTTGAAACTTTAAAAGATGAACATACTGTTACAATCAAAACCGACTGATTGTTGTCTGAGCTCATGAAACTGAATTATTTATCCGGCTGTATAGCTGACAAACATTCCTTCAGAAAACTGTAGCTACAAAACTCAACAAAGACAGGAGGAATAGGATTATTCTTCAACAAACTTATAGTTCTGTTAAACAGTAGTAACATCAAAAACTCAAACTTACCTTAACAGTGCTGACAAGCAGTTATACAGTTCAGTCTAAGTACAATATGAGTACCTACAAGCAAGTAGGATATTCCTACAAAGGTAGGATCGAAAGCTTTGTCCACGAGAATCACATACAAAAGCTTCCCACGGACAGTATGAAGTCAGAATGACCTTGATTCCCTCAAACAAAGTCACATTGCACAACACATCATCACTGTACGCATAACTACAAAAAGAGAAGCATTAGAATTAGAGATTAAACAGGGACAAAGAGAAATACAATAAGGATCAAGTCAACATGTGATATGCTAATGTCAGAACAATGGTATACAACCTAGGAGAAAACGGATAATCATTACAGAGTTAGTAAAAACATCCAAGTATTTATACATACTTGCATTAAACAAATCAGGAGGAATTTTCCAAACAGCTTTTCCGTCATACATACCATACTTGTTTATTTAATTATGTATGATTTTCAGTCTTTCTTGATGGTTGTAATTGACAATCCAAAGTACGAAATGGCATCATCTCTCTTTGTTTTATTCTACAAAGATGTACTATGTGTCCATGAATCTTATCACTAAAATGTACATCGTTTATCTTTTTCCAAAAAATTTGCGCTGTGCAGTGCTGGAATCACTGATCAGTCGTAAGTTTTCGAAAATTTGAGGTTCGTATACAGATTTAATTCAATCAGGATAAAGGTTGACTTCATTGTATTGGTACATGTTGGCCTGTAGCTACCTTTGCTTGTTTAGAAGAACGATTATCAGAGGGAAAACATCAGAATGTGTGTATAGAGAAGTATAAACCATCGGAAGCTCATAGCATTGCAATACTTCTGAACATAAACAGCCTAATATCTCACCTAAAATGAATAGCTCCAGTCAAATATTGTAGAAATCTGGCAAATTACCAAAAGGTTACTGTACCAATTATACCACGTCATACAATCTTAGTATTTTATTAACAGTTTGCTGTGATGCAGAAAGAAAAGTATGAATTCTTCAGGATTCTTGATAGTTCATAAAAATCAAATACTGTCTTTTAAGAAGCCAATTAATTCAGGTTGATACCAAAATAAATCGCATTACGAAAGCAATGATAAAACAGCGTAAGATCTATTTTACTAGGGAAGAAACTGATCGTGTGAATTCATGAAAATAAAAAAATGTTTGAAAATAGTTTCACTTGCCATTCAATCTTCTTGATGTTTAACAAATGCAGAAATTAGAAAAATGACGTAAATCTTCAAAACTACTACATTTCAGTAGGATATAGTAATATTTGGCAAAGATTCGTACTATTAATGTGTCTTTAAATTTGGTGAAGTAGATTTTTAGTGCTTCAGAATGTTTTTTATTAGCTCATTTCAAGTTGTCGTGAATTTTATCAGTTTACAAGACACTCACTCAACTTACTGCCGCTATACTATTTATTATCGTTAAGCATAATCTGATTTTAGATGTGGCTTTTGGGATTTATCATTGTAAGTTAAACATAATTTAAGCCTACATTATAGGTAAAATTAAAATTTTCCCTAAAGAAGTTAATACCTTTATCTCCCTGGTCATTTACCAACAAGAAATTCAAAAAGGTTTATTGTTTTCCTTACTTTGTCAAGTAAAGTTAATATTAAGGTTAGAATATCTGAGAGTAATGAGATTAAATAATTAATAACACATTAAGAACACTGAACTTTTAGATAAACTCACTGTCAATATGTTTGAATATAATGGAATTCGGTAATTGTATCATTTCCATAATTAGAAGATATCGTCTAGTTATTAATACCGTATCACTTTGTGGTATATCAGATTATATCAGAATCTAGTACAAAATTATATTGTACCACAGAGCCCAATACCACTGTTAGGTTAGTAACTTTATTCATTTAATTACACACTGAAATTATGATAATATTACGAAAAATATTGTATTTCTCAAAAGGAAGATACTTCCAATATGTTCTAATGAACAAAAAGTGCGTCAGTCGGTCAGCGGCAGAATGCTAGCTGACCACGCACATGGTCCGAGGTTAGAGTCCCAGTCGGAAGACACCTTAATGTCCCTTAGCCGGTTATAATCCTGACAAAGAGGGTAGGTTGGACATGAGGGGCTAGCAAACTCACCCCGTAAAAAGTCACCACTCTCACTGAAACTTCAAAGCACCAACATGAAGCTCTATGTTCCACTGGTAGCGTAAAGGAATAAAAAATGACAGAAACCGAAGAACTTCTATCCGAACGCAAGAAACCAGTCTATATGTTCTCCTGTACAGTTTGTCAAACTTCCACGAGTAAAACAATAAAAAATTACTTTGTAACAATATCAAAACGCGTTTTAGCTTGATAAAGACAGTGTTACTCAACAGTGTCGTCCAGTATCTATACATTTCAAAGCTGAGAATCAGTAACACTGTGTCCTACAAGATAGAATCAAAACGCCGCCCGGGAAAAATCAAAGAAGACATAGTTTATTTGAAACGCGTACTGCACAACACATTGCGCAACATATTTCGGACATTATAATCCCACACACACACTTATCATACACATTTATATAGATGGCAGAATACCATGAACCATTACAATACAGGTCAAATTGTTTACTGGTTAAGGTCACAAATAAGGTGTAGGAAGATGACGTAAAGGTGTGGGGCAAGAAATTAAGAGAAGGAAGAAGGCGAAAATATCATTAAGTAAATCGAATCTTGGTTGTAAATAAGATTACCAAGGCAGGTTTAAAGTAATAACAAATAATTTTTGGACGCATAAGGCAGGTTTAAGCCTTTTTATGACCAAGGCTTCGACAGACTTCAGAATGTGACCCAAACCTGTTTTGTATATGGGTTTCAACGCATTGTTGAAATCAACCCTATGACGTCTATTTCCGAAATCACTTGTATCCAGTGATTTTATTTGTTGTTTCAGCCACTTTGGAATATGTTCTGTAGCCCTAACCTGCAGAGACCAGTGGGTCCTTGCTATGGAAATGCATCTACATATACATGTAAATTCGTCAACACAATGGGATTTGGTACTATCGTTCGAACGCTGTGAAGGTGTGCAAGTTAGCATAGATCTCTTTTTCACTATGAAAATAAGTTTCGCTGCATAACAAGTTCTACTAATAGCCTCTTAGAGTCTTTATCTAGTGATCAGACTTTTTGATCAACCCTGAATAGTAATGATATATAAACATCCATTTTGGGAGCTGACTGGATAGGTAGAGCTCTTTGGTTGACACTTCCATAACGCTTCATGAATTTCACCGGATAGTCGTTATCTAATATTATTTCTGTGAGGTGTTGTGTTTCATCGTTAGTAGTATCGGATGTACATATATGGTGAATGTGTCTGAACAAACACTAGACCAATTCCTTTTACACTGTAGTCAACAGACTTCATAACTTTGCGTCATCTTCCTTCCCCTTATTTGTGACCTTGACCGGCACACAATTCGACCTGCATTGTAACAATTCATGCTCTGTTGCCTTCTGCAAAAATGTGTTTGGTAAGCACGTGTGTGATCAGATTTTTCAAAGTGTGTTGTGCAGTACGCGTTTCAAATGAACTATGTCTTTTTATCGTTGTGTCAAATTTCATAAAATCATTTCTCTATCAGACAGTCCAAGGTCAAGCTGGCATTCTGCCTCACAACCCTGACTTCATTAAAATAAGACTGCAATCATAAAACAACACGTTATTATCAACAGTCGGCCGTCATAGAACAGAAAACAGAAGGATTAAACATAAGGATTAGCCAAGAAATTAAAAAAATAATAAGGAGAGAATCAAGGAAGAATACGGAAGTGTTAAGACGATGATGTACAGATCAGACGGAAATAGGTAGTTATTACAAAATTATTTAGATTAGAGGGAGTCAGATTAATTTCAAAAGAGATTTCGTCATTAAAGAACATCAGTTAGATTTCAGTGAAGACTAGGGTTAGTGAACCGCGCTCCAAGTGGCTGAATCGTCAGTGAGCTTGGAGTGGTAACATGCAAGTCCCGGGTAAGATTCATGTTGAGGTCGCGGCGGCAGCGACACCAATTTCTAGTAAATAAGTGCAACTGAGGCTTGAAGCAATGATCCTCGGGAATATCATATCTCCAATGTTTCATTTGCACATCTTATGGAAATTGGTCAAATATCACCAGATTCGATAGCTTGTTGAGTTCTTCACAGTGTTTCTAATATTATTCTCACAGTTCTGTTCTTCAGTTGCTTTTTCCAGTGTCGGAAACGTATTGTTGCTTTTTTGAACTCGTTTGCTGATAATAAGTAGTACTCATGACAGTGGGAACACATTGCCAAAGAGTCACAAAATTGGACGAAACAGATATCTAATGCTGTCTGATCTTCAGTGATTTCTAACTGATTTTTGTTCGTGATGAGATCTATACTGATATTACTAAATTATTTGAAAAACTTCAATAGGTATCAACATCTTAAATAGATTACTATTGGAGGAATTTTCAGATCAGTGACTTTGCTACACATAATAACACGAACTCAGACTTTAATTGCTGAGGCAGTTCGTTAGCCTTGTATATCGACAGCTGTTATATGTTACCCACATATCTTTTTATTTATTTATTCTGACACTGGGTTATGCCACTTTCTCAGCTTTCATCACTTGATCATACAGCATCGATAGCTTGTGAGGAATTGTGAGGTGAAAAATGAGTGCACCTTATGATATTTCCATCACTATCCTTGTTCAAGACTTGCGTAGATGCATTTCAGCATAATCCAGTGTATTGCACATAATTTTTAAGTGTACATTAAGCGTTCAACAAGGTTTCCTCTCTCTGTGATATAATTATTAATGCCGTTAATATCCAAAACTTTCACCATGTTTCACTAACGCAAAAAGTCTGAAAAAATTAATACGTAAAGTGCTCAATAGTTTCTATTGGTTGCTTTATTTTTCCTTAAGTTTTCAATAAATTATCCGACTAAATGTTTGCTTTGTGAGTAATATAAACTTTAATAATTTGAAGATACATTTAAACAAAAAATTTATATTCTTGAAAATGCTTTTCAAAATGTTTCCATTTTAGGTGTACTGCACTACAGTCAAGGTGAGTTGACGATGAGTTTGTATGATTTATGATACATTAATATGCTTAAACCACCATTATGAACAAGTAATTGTTGTACAAGCAATTTGTCAAAGTCCACATACCTGATTATGCAATATCCATGGATTGTTCTAACGTCTAGAAAGTGTTTCTAATATAGTGATCATATTTTGTACAGTAAAGGTGAAATTGCAAAATATGACCTGAGTTATTTTATGAAGACCAGTTGTGGTCACTTGTATATGACGTCATGGAGCGGTTTCAACATGTAAAAGGTAGATAACATAAGTGTAACTAGGGTGGGCCTAGTTAAAGTATTTACAGAACTTTATATATATACATTTTTCAAGTATTGGTTTTGTAGGGATTTTGTTTGATTGGATGGAGGATTTCATCATGAGGTGACATCAGTTAGAGAACCAATTGAAAACCTGAGAGTACTGCACAGCTGTTTTCTCCGCCCCAGTTTGGGACTCTTCATCAGTACGCACCCACCGGGGTTCAAACCCAGGACCTTCTGGTTACTAGGCCATTTCGCAATGTCTTCTTCGACGAGTTACTGCTTCATCTTGAACCTGCTGTATATATATATATTTTTTAAAACGGGTATTACTGATAAGCTTCGAAAGGTAGACATTTCTAATTATACACTACACACCATGTTTTTTTCTCTAAAAGATTCGGTTTCTTTGGTGGAAAGTAAGTTATACTGTAAAAAATATAAAGGTATTTACTTGTGTGTTGACATGACTATTTGTCATTTTAACTGACACAATTATATTAAAGGCGTCTCCATGAATATAAAGAAAGCATCAATTATGCATTGCAGATCTTAATGTTTTACTGGTTTAAACTATTTCAAAGTTATTGAAAATGTTTAGCATTCCAAAACATCCAGCACAGTAAGTTTTAGAGTATTATTATGATGATTGTATCTACGTTTTGAGTTCATTTCAAGTGTATTAGAAGTTAATTTTTCAATCACCTTCTAAGGATATTTTGTTGATAAATTTGTAATAAAACTAGACGCTATTTAGCTTTTAGTTGTTTTACTACTGTCCTTTTCAGTCTTTTATTGATGCACATGAAGACAACAGTCTCTCTTTATCTCATGACAGTTTTGCTCATATTGTAGAAACATAGATTTTGGAAAATTATTAGTAAAACACCAGAAAACTAGTATACAAATTTTCTATTTATAAATCTTTTTATCCATGTTTATGTTGGGTGATTATTACCCAAAGATCACTGATTCTCACATACTGTTTTCAGCGTTAGTTTAACCAGCCAGTCATCCAGTCAGTCATCCAGCCAGCCAACCTGGTAGCCGATTTCACAGAAAGTTTAGACTCAAAGCAACCAAGTTCTAGACAAAAATATCCTATCTGAGATAGATTATATACCCAAAAAAGCAGACATCACAGAGTACAAATTTCACCATTATAACAGACATATTATTGACTTATGAAGTAAGGCTATGATCAAATATTCTCCCCCATTTACAGCAACAACGTAGTGAGAACTCCTAAGTAAGTAAACAGTTTGTGTATCCATAGTTCATTTTTATACACTTAATGTAAAGTGTAATAAAGAAAGTTGCGTGATTTTTACCGATAAGTTGAAATAAAATGTTTAAATTATCTCAGTACCTAAACAACATTTCACTAAATATATATATCTCCTTTGAGTAATTCACTTTCTTGTTCAAAATTCCCTCCTAAACCCTCGTCTAAGTACAAGTTTTCCCAAAGTTCACTTTGCCTACTCTAGGCTAGTAGCTATAGCTCTATAAATACTGTCCTTGATTTAGCTATTCATATCCAGAAATCCTACATTCTCCTAATCTCTTTCCATAGCTAAACACAATAAATAAATATTAATTATTGCAATTGATTGATAGTACATGAGAAACTGTCACTCACTGCTATAACTGGTAACCTCATCGTAAACACAGTCATTGAAAGTCGATCACAACAAACAATTTAGAATAACGTTTTCTGGCAATGAATTCTGATAGGCCTTCCTCCCGACTCGGTACCAGTACCTGTATACAATAAGCATGTGTTCTAAGCCTGAATTGACAGAAGATTTCACACATAAAAAAGTGCGCTTAAATCAAAAATCTACAAATAATTTTAAATTTCTGGAAGACAAGCAGAGCTGAATACTTTTCACTGTAAATTCAATTTCAGTAATGATATCGCTAAGGCAGCTGGTTGTCAATATACTTTCCTTTGACTGTCTTAATCTCCGAATTAATGATTTATGGTATTTATATTTTTTCAGTGAATTGACAGCATAAATTATTACTTAATATAATATAAACATCATTCAATTATTCATGTCTTATCAATTTGTACCTGTTCATTAAGCGTTTAATTTAGAACAAGGTCATACCACATTGGCTAGATTTCCTCTTGATAAAAATGCGCTTATTATTTTATTACATTATTTTACTTTTTTGCGTTCCTAGTGGAATATAGAGTTTCAAGCTAGAGTTCTGAATTTTCAGTAGGAGTGGTACTTTTTGTAGGGTGGGGTTGCTAGCCTCACGTCCACAATTCCATCTTTGTCAGGATTACAACCAGCTAAGGGAGGTAAAGAAGTGTGCCTGCCGGTTCTTGAACCTCGGACCACGTGCATGGTTGATCAGCATTCTACGGCTGAACCATACATACATACAATAATGCATTTAGTGTTTAATAAAGACTTTAACCATAAACAAATAAAATTTCTGGTGGAAAAATTTTATTTTTCATCTACAGGAGTATTCATTTAGAGATATCTGTTGATTATTAAGAATTTTTAACTAAGTTTACTGGACTTCAGTAATTTGGTAAAGATAGATTAAAACTAGTGTTTAGTAATAACTAGTGATTACTAAAGTTTCACCGATTTAACTAACTGAAACTCTGATAAATTTCTTGGAATAACAGACCACCTGATGCTGATCAGTAAGTAGAATGTTTCTCGATTCATACCATTTTATACTCTGATTGTAATCTAAATGTCAATAGAGTCAATAGAGCCTCGTGTTTAGAGTTATTCTATGAAAATTAAAACAAATAGCCAGTGGACATCTCTAGAGTAGTTTGCTCAGTTAAAAGGGTTAAGTAGTTAACTTACTTAGCATTCCATCGACCGTAACAGATTGATTAGAGCTAACCAATTGAAATATAGTGCAGATTGAACAGATAAAAAGAATGAAAGAATGATTATCAGAATATGCATCTTTTCTAGTAAGCCGAAAGTCTGGTGTCTTCCAGGTATTTGGGTATATGCTTTATTTACTGTTAGTTTTCTTACAACTAACACGGTATATTAAATCTAGTGACTACCTTAAGTAGTCGATTGGTGGCTGATGACTAGTGGTGGAATCCAGAATGTGCATTTCGTCCGAATTGGGATTCGTCACCTGGATGTACCTGCATTCGCCAGTGAGCGATGGTGTCCTCAACGAGGCTCGAACACAGTGCTCGTAGAATCAAACGCCAAAGTGTCATTCACTAGACCACTTGGACCACAACAACCACCTCTTGTGCAGTGGATCTTATTAATTATTTAATTCAATTTAGATCTTCCACTAGGTGATTCACTTTTAGCAGCAGTTACACATCAGAAATTCATTAAAATTTAATATTTACAGCTGCCGCGTACCGGATAAGTAAGTGGACTACGTGACTGTTTCTGAGTAAAGTCATCTGGTTATAAAGAGTTAATATGTAGATTATGATGCATAATATTTTTGATAATCTTTTTTAAAATCGCCTCGCTCAAATTCGGCGTAGCATTTTCCAGACTAATTGTTGAAATGATCTACATCATGTCAATGTTCAGTTACAGAATAATCGAGTAGAAAAAATAATTGTCATACTATGCATTTTTAAGTCAGTTAAAATCTAGTCAAAAGAAAATATATCACTGATTTTCAATTAAAATGATGTGTTTTGATTTCAAGCTATACATTCCCGGATGTTTATTTGTAAGTTTCCTTCTAATGCCCCCATATTACATCAATTATCCTGGTTCCTTGACTGTCTTATGATTATTTAGATGTATTAAAACTATAATCACAAATAATTTAAGCGTGTATAGAATAGGAACTTCACAAGTTAATTACTTTATTTATGAAATTTGCGAACAGATAAATGTAGAGATTGTTATTTATTATTATTGTTCTCTTAGGTTCCTAGTGAAACGTGGGGTTTCAACAGCATATTTCGATTTTGTCCTGTTACCTTCAGTTCTCCTAAGCTGGCCTCATATTGCCCATAGTGTCTCACCTACTCGTCATAAGATCTCCTGCATCTAAACGTCGGAAGACCCACTCACCGTTTTCCCATTCGGTTTCCAATTGCGCAGCTGACCTCGCGCGCCTTTTTAACTAATGGTCTCCTCTGAGTATGCCAAATCTATTTCCATTTCCTTCGGAATGTTTGTTGGACAATATTTTCTTCGTTAATGCGTTCCCACAGTTTATTATTGCTAATTCCTTCTTGCTGGTCATCTAGTCATCAATGTGGAGCGAGCAGAGTTGTTGATGAAAGTTTGCAACTTGTTGGAGATCCTTTTAGTGACTATGACCAAGTTTCTAACCCATACATATAAGAATGTACTTCATATTTGTGTTGGATATCTGAATCTTGTTCTTTATACTGATTGACAGCAGACTGGTTTCAGGTTGACGAAGACGTGTTTCGTCTTTCCAGTTCTGACTGGTGTTTACATCTTCATCCGTTCCACCTGTAGTTGAAACGATGCTTCTCTCCCGTAGATGGTGATTGGTGCTGGTTGTTGTTGTTATTGCGGTTCGTTGGCTGTCTTCATCAACTCCGCCTTTTTTATGTTCACTTGCAGTGCTGTCTTTGCTACCTGCTTCTTCTGCCAGTTTGTTGGTTTTCGCCTGCGAATCTTCGAGCCTGCCTGACATTGAACACAAATCACCAGCGAAATTCAGATCTTCTAGAGTCTTCTTATCAACCATCCAGCGTATTCCTGTCTCCTCGCTTCCCACAGTCTGCTGCATAATTGAGTCCACCACAATCAGCTATATCATCGGCGATAATAGACAGCCTTGTGTTATTTCCATAATTGCCTCAAATGCCTCGCTGAGTTCCTCGTTGTGGATCACCTGACAAGTGGCACTGTCATGTAGCCAGCAGTTGAATGAGGCTGACAAAGGTGTGGGCACTGCAGGCCATAGTGTTGAAGCAGTTTCCAAATTACTTCTCTGTCAATGCTATGAAAGGTCTTTTGAGAGTCAATGAAGTTGATGTAGAGGTTTGACTGCCATTCCATGCTTTGCTCTGTGATGACAATGCGTAAAGTTGCAGTTCAATCAGCACATGATTCGCCTTTCCTGAATCCAGACACCTCATTCCATTAGGGCGGAGTTCTGTATCCAGTGCATCTTTTATTCTCTTCAGAATGACGCCACGTATAACTTTAATTAGTGTGGACAAGTTCATGATTCCGTAAAAGATTTTCGAGGGGCCTAAGTTGCCCTTCTTTTGTAGCTTGACGAGGTAACCTTTCTTCAAATCAATGGGTACTTTCCTTACCGCTGAAGTGTTTGTTTATTTATTTTATGACAAATGAAATGACAATGTTACTTTCAGTTTTTCATTATTCAGATGTGTGCCAATACATTATTTTCTGTATCATTTATGTAAAAAAGGACAGGGATGGCGGATTATTTGTAAGTCTTTATATAATTTGACAAGAATTTGTGAATGTCAATTCATTGGCTTATCCGAAGTTGATGGCATAGTGAACAAACTCAATGATGAAAGGCTTTATTCCAAATCCTGCATATATTCCATTCTCGATAGATAGTGTGTTGCCAAATAGTATATTTATTTATCTTATCGCACACTGAATATCATTCATCAGAGAGAGCAGTTTTCTGTATACACTAAATATTAGACAAGTGATTTGTATATCCAAATATTATCAACTTGCATATTATGTATTTAATCCCATTGCAAATATCACAACTTTGATGTTTTCCACATTATAAATTATTCCCATTTCTGATGTAAAAGAAAAACTTAGTTGTGAAGCTAAAAATTTCATTTGGATGTCATATTTTTAAGCAAGTGTCTTGAAGGCATATTGGATAAATTATAAAACTTAGAAGTGAGCTTTTAGACTACTTTTCAACAGCTCTAACATTAGCAATTATACATAGCTTTCTGCATATACAATATCAAAGGTTTCCACTATCAAATAGTAAAAGGAATATTTTTGATTGGACACTAGTAACTAGTGTGACGTGTCTAGTCCTTTCTTTTATGCAGACAAAAGTCTATCAGTCAAGTTTGCAATGTGGCCACCATTCTAGGTGGCTCGCCATCATGGTGCACATTGATTTGATGATATCAAATAGTTGAAAGCAATTGACCACAGGAAGCATTGGACCTAGATTTCGTGCTAGTTGGCGTTCGTCAGCAAGGCGTATCTGCAACCTTGAAGGAACTAATGTCCCTTCTGAGATTCGAACCTGCCGATTGCCTCCAGTTATCTAGTATCATCAAATTAAAAGGAATTATTTTAGATCACATCTTCGTAATGGATTGATTTTAAGGAGATTTTCAACAGTTTTCTATGAATTTCAGGTTGATTCACAAATTTAGAAGCACCATAAAATCGATGCATTAACTGTTAACTATTTGTCTTGATACTGATTAAAATAAAGTTCGATTATCTTTTCATGAGATAATAATTCAAAGTACATGACACTTTTCAAAATAGGAACACCACTTTTTGGACAATGTAAGTTTGTTGACAATGTAGAATTTATCAACTAACAAGGTCATCATAAGAATTTATGCTCAGTGCAACATGAAGAAGAGAAAATCTACGTTTACTTTTCGACTATTAAATTACTTGTTTAGAAGAACATGTCTTAGTGAATTAAGAGTCTGAGATCGCATCACTAAAGTATGTTGACATTAAGTTCAAAACAGTGAACTTAGTGTGTATCTTCTCTGTATCATCTGAACATAGATTCCCTTGAAGTGTGAATATTTTAGTTAACCGGGGCAATATTATCATATCTAAATGAAGTTACCAGCTATAAAGTAATAATATAATACGTAATGCATGTATCTGGGCATTCTGAGTGTGAATTTTGTTTGTTTTTTTGGTCGATGGAAATATGAACACGTAAAGCTTAATTTTAGAAAGTATCCAAAGAAACAGAGTTTTGTTCATTAAAATTGGCTAATATGACCATTACTATAACTGACTATCCTTTTATCGGCAAGCTGATGCCTTTTGTATCTTAAAAATGTGCAAAATTATGACATTAATCTACCAGAGAAAGCTGTTCACCTCCTATCATGATTATTTGATTGAGTAATATAAATCCCTTTAACAAATAAAACTGGAATGATGGAAATTGAGATAGAATACAACTAGAAACTCTTAGTTTGAGGAAATAGAAATATTTAGTCCCTTTGACAGATTTTAATAAGGATTTTGCAGAGAGATACTGAGACAAGATGTAATTTTGTAGTTTTCTACAGTTGTGTTACAACTAGCATGAATGACAATAATAAAAACATTTGACAGTTAGTTAATCGTATGAAGTTAAACGACATATTAATGAACAGAAACACTCAAATAGGCAAAGGTTCAATCCTGTTGCTTTCTCTAGCAAAGAAAGCTATATTTATCGAAATATAGTTCGATGGAGACCAAATCATGCGAATGATAACTCCAAAGTTTCTGCCAACTTTTTCTTTGTGCATGAATAAAGAAGCAAATTCTATGGATTCTACTTCAATATCACTTCAATCTTCACAAATGTGCCAGTCGTTGAGTCTATTGACTTTAAACGTAGAGAAGCTGAATATATACCTATTCCAACATCGGAAATAAGGAAATTCAATGGGTGTCTATTCCATCAAGTAGACGATGTCTCAACTGGAAGCCCCTTTGGGCCACTTTTTTCCGATTTATTCCTGTCAGGCCTAAAAGTCGGTATTTTGCAACAATATATACAACAAACCGATATATACCTGATATATTTTGGTGATATTTTTATTGTCTGTGAAGGCAGATTGAAAGCTGAAAACCTGCTGATAAAATTGAATTCATGCCATCCAAATCTCAGCTTCACAACAGAACACGAAGCAAATGGTGCTATTAAATATCTAAATGCTTCTCTAGTGGAAGGAAATTATGGCACAATCGAAAGATCTATATTTAGAAAGTCTTCAATCACAGAACAGTACATGCATTTCAAGGGCTTTGTTCAAATCCAGCATAAAAAGAACAGTCACAACACTGTTCAATAGAGCACGAAATAAAGCTTCTGAACGATATTTTATCTAAAAATGAACATCCTGAGAATTTTGTTAATAAATACTCTAAAGAAACGAGTCCCAGCAAAACTATTCAAACAGTTCTGAAAAGATCTGTCTGTGTCAATCTGCCATTCAAAGGAGATGATATACAAGAGGTAGTCAAACGAAGACTTAATAAAGCTATCAAGAAAACCGATTATGCTGCAAAACCGGTCTTCCTCAACACCATCAAGCGAGTGTTTCAACAATCTGGGAAAGACAAGTCGCCAATCCTTGACATTTGAAACGTTGGATATCATTTTGAGTGTTTTTGTTGAAGAAAATACGTAGGTCGTACAGAAAGGCGATTGTCTACTCGCATGATAGAGCATTTGCCTAAGTAGTTGAAAACAACTCAATTCAAACTGCCAAAAAGCTCAATAACAAAGCATCTTGTGAACTACGGAAATGATATCTACGCTGTCAGGTCATTCACCGTTTTCAGCAGACAAACAAACAGGAAGATGCTTGGAATTGCACTTGTAGTTGCGGAGGAATATATATCAGTAAAGCCAAAATAAGGTTCTAATATCGTCCTAAGGGGTAACTAAGTTATAGAAAACCTGAGTAAATTTAATCTGAACAAAAGTTCATCATCGTCTACCACGATATATTTTTAAAGTGATTGGCAACGATTTCAATTAATCAAATACATTCCAAATAGGGCATAGAGAAAATAACAGATTTCAGCCTTTTCCTACTCTGAACTAATCAACCTGTTGGAAGGCGATCAGTCATTCATTTCATACGATTAATTAATTGTCGAACGTCTTTATTGTTTTCAAGAGGCGTTTTGTAACGACTTTATTTGTTTCAGTTTTGATCACAGATTGATTTCATTTAAAGAACCACTGAAAACCAGGGTGTATTGGAGTGGAGTTTCGCCTTGTTTCGGACTCACCGGCAGTACGCATTCGCTGGGACTCAAGCTCAGAACCTTCTGGTTACAAGGCACGACCGCTGGCACCCAACTCAGTGGCCCGTAAATTCTAACCCCAGCCAATGTCATCGGTGAGTATTTGTCCCCACTCTCGACCGGATGAACTCCACTGGTCATGACTTCTTACTAGAATTCCAGGTTGGTGATTAAGAGAAAACCACAAATACGTAGAAGTTAAAATTCAAGACCCATTGAGTAGGTTCCCAGTGACTTAATGGTCTACGGCCGTGCCTTGTAACCAGAAGATTTTGGGCTTGAATCGCGGTGATCGCGTGCTGCTGCTGAGTCCCCAACTTGAACGAAACAGGTATTCAGCACTCCCTGGTTTTCACTAATTCTATAACTGATATTGGTCCGTCATCTAATCTTTATTCCTATCAACCATGCTAATTTTAATGCGACTGTAGAGAAAATACGAAATGCCACCATGTTGTAGTATCTGACTTGGGGATCCCTTATTTAAGTATAACACCTTTCTATTACTCTAATGATAGAAGTATCGTTTCAGTATATTTCAGTGGAATCGATATTATAAATATATACTGTCAACTAGCCTTGAAAACGAAGATAGAATAATACTTGCATTATTGTATCATATTCTAGAAAAAACTTGACAGAGTAAGTTACTTAAATATAATAATTTTATCATATATTTAGTACTCAAAATAAATATACTAGGAAACTTATATGCTTATAAATGCAATTTTCTGGTGATGAAACATTATATTTCACCTCCGCATGGTATTCTTATGCTGAATCCATGCACTATGCATATATACTTTTTCTAAATTAAGATTGTATAAAGTATTCCCGTATATTTCTTACAATTTATTTCTTCTATTATGTGTTGGTTTATAACTGTCCCATACTATCATCAAAAGTTTGAATTATTAATTAATATACTTATATTAAACATTAACAAGTGAATCTCTGATAAACTAGTCAATTATATATTTAAATGAAACAATTTTCGACTACTTCCTAGTGGACATACGCCTAAAGAACTGTAAGCAAAATTTCCTGGTATTATCATGACATGAGTCTAAAAGTCAGTAAAACTCACTTCTTTTGTATTTCAATTCACTAAGCTGCAGTCTCATTGTTCATCATACTTTTGAAATGCTGAAACATGTTTTGTTATCATACAGAGATGGAATTTAACAACCAGGCAGTTTTCTGAGTTTTCATGGTTGTATTTTACATGTCACTTTTATAGCCAAGTAGAGCAGTTTGAAAATATGTGTCTCTAGTATTTACTACCTGTTACTTTTACCTTAAAGGATAACAGTCCTTTTGATATACTTGTGAAGGGATAATTTAAAGAAGCTCAATAGAGAATCACAGGTTAAATTTATAGTGTCTGATACCGGCTACTCAGGAAATAAATTTTCTGAGCCATGTACCTGGTGAGTGATTAACTGGCGTTTAAAGAAATATATGTAGTAGGATTTCCAGTGTTCAAAGTAAATCAGTTAAGTGAAATCCTCATAACACTGAACATGGATTTATTTATGTCACTTCATCACACATACACAGCTATGGAAAACTAGATAATTGGTAACCGTCACATTTATGAATGAATATGCGTATGAAAGTAATATATCCTTGTTTGATTATTTAAACAACGCTTGTATTTACAGAAAACATTTATTGGAACACCTGTAAGCTTTTATGATACATTTCATATGAAAGCGAATTGCTGAATTATTAATATTCTTAAAACTATGCAACAAAGACTATTATATAAAAACTTTAACACAAAGCAGCTAAAAATCAACTGCATTTCTAAAATTCCCTCAGTAAAATAAAATTGATGTGAAACAGTAGTTTTAAGTGTGAACTATTTCCACAGATTCTGTAATGGTCAAACTTTTTAGGTGAATGCAGAGAAAGACGACGACGCCAAGTATAAGGAATTTAGAACACCAATAGTCCTGCCATACAAAAAGACAACCTTGTAAATCGTACGAAGGATTTTAAATTAATTAGGAATAAAAGTGACATTTTAACCCACGAACTCATTTAAGAAACAAATTGTGTCATTTAAAAGATCATGTGAAGCCAATTAAACAAAACAATTTAGCTCATTTCATACCCTTCAATGGCTGTAAAGTCAAATACACAGGTCATAGTAGTAAGCTAGGTTCAAATAGATTAGCGCAGCTTAAAAGCTTTGTAAAATTTAGAATACTGGACCCTAATGAAATAAAAATCTGAAAAAATAACCTTCAGCTGTAGCTTTAAATACAGTTGCATATAACTGTACAATGGAATGGGACAAACTGACAGCCTTAAAATTGAATATAACATGGTGGTGTGAGAAACTGATAATTGAAGCCTTATTCATGAAATCACCTTGCAGCGCGTGAAATGAGAATGTCTCAAAGTCTTGGTAAACTCCACTCTCGCTACTAAAAACTGAAAAGAATGAAAAGAAGTAAAAAAATAACCTTGAGCTTTGAAGTTGGGCACTTACAACTGATATGATTATAAATGATAAACTGTGTTCGAGATGTTATCCATGATGTTTCACTGTGTTGTAAAGCCAATAAACATACTAATATGGAATTACATACTACCACACTGTTGAAGTTTTACACATACGTTATCAAGTTTAGTACCACATATTCAGACATCATGTACATTAAGTATACTGTTTCAGACAATATTTTACTCCCTGAAGCTATCAAAAAGTACTTGCATAGATTAAATTTAATGATGACTTATGTTTTTGGAATTCTCATTTTGTAGTTGGGATCTACAGGTAGACGTGTAAGTTTATTTAAGTCATTAAAACTAAGTATAACTGTTGTTTATGCAGTCATTAGACGAAAGTAGACATGTATTTCAAGCTTTGTAGTTTGCAGCTGTAGTAACAGTTAGGCATAATATATTGATGTTGACAATTTAAATATTAATTGCTTATCGTTCTTTATAAAAATTGCCTAATGAAACAGAGGAAAACTTATCCCACCGAGAAGGTAAGCAAACAATGGTTTAACTCTAGTTATTTTATGTAGTGATGTCAAAATATACAGAGTTACATGTATGGTATTTCAAATATAACACTCCCATTAGAGAATTCAGCACTTGCTATTGAGTGAAGAGTGACCAAGTCAGTGAGCAATAGTATCAATAAGTGCAAAGAATACAACGAAGTTTTGTTTTGTCTCACATGTACATTACTAAGGCTGAGGGAATATATGATAAATATTTACATTAACAGAAAAAAGAACTTACGTGGGAGACAGAATAGTGGAAAGAATTTAACGGCACTCTTGGAAAAAATTAGCTGCATAACTCTACTTGTTATTTTGATGTAAAAAAGAATTTTCAACATTTATGGTTGGTTGATTTTCCGAAGACATCCAACAACAAACCGTTCTTAAGGCAATATGATAAATTTCGTTAAACACTACTTATAATAGAATTTCTCTCACTCGCACTTATTAAAGTATTTTTCTCAAAATAATCTTTCTGGTTGTTACTTATCCCAACTAGTATAATAATTCACCAATAGTTATTACTATGGTTATTTGTCGTCTTAACAGTTATAATGGCGTTCTCTGGATATTTAGAGATTTATAAACTTTGAGTGAAACTAATGCTCTGTATTGTTTGGTTATGTTTTAGAAACGTTTGTGTTACTCCTGTGTAAGTAAATGTGCTATAACGTAAAATGAAAAACTTTCACAGACTTTTCAATAATTGTGCTTAATTAAAATCCCTATATAAATGAGTCATACGAAAATGGTTCTGTTAACCTTGATCTGTCTTTTTAATGGGAGCAGTTCAATTAAAAACAATCGTGATTTGGATTTTTCATTTAGTTTAATTATTTGATAATCAAAATAAATTATTTCTGAGAAGGTTAATTTAAACTTTGATCTCCGTAGGACAGAAACCAACACAGCTGCAAACCATGTCCTGTAGCTCATTTAGTAAAATACCGAACTAATATTCCGAATCATGCTGGTTTGTATATTACTGCGATCCAGTTTTGAACTCGGCCTCCTAACCATCATAAAACTATATTGAAGTTTGAAATTTTTAATACGGGGAGCAAAGAACATTTGATTTTTTCGATGTATTCATTTAGGAAAATCTTTACGGGTCCTACGTAAGTTTGCTTTCTCGAGACAAATATGCATAATGAAATAAAATATAGAGGTGATATTCCTCCCATAATAAGTCAAATTACTGTTTCCTTTAATTCCTAGAGGAACACTTGGCTTCAGAAGCAAGTCTCCAGCGCATTCGGTTCTCTGCCAAGGCTTCCACCTGGCTCCATGTATACCCACATGCCTTCACCTCCTCTTCACGTGACCTCCTCCATGTTGTTCCCACTCAAGCGATGCACTGTGGTGTGATGTCACTTGATGGATTTCTGAGAATATGGCCAATCCACCTCCATCTCTTCCTGTATTTTTGTTGCACATTTGGTTCCTGTTGAGTTGGTTCGCTTCCAGAAATTCGCCACCACTGCTGATCTTTTCTGGCCATCTTATCTTGAGTATTGAGTGAAGACAGCTATTGACAAAGGTCTGTAATTTGTTTGAACTGCCCTTTGTGACGCGGCGCCAAGTCTCTGATCCGTATAGTAACACTGACTTTACATTGGAGTTGAAAATCCACTTCTTCTATTTCATCCTGACTGCTGCTGATCTCCACACAGACTTGAGAGAAATGAAAGCTTACCTTGCTTTCCCGATCCTCGCTTTGACATCCACTATCAGTTTTGTCCGCCTGTTGTTGAAACGATGCAACCCAGGTCGGTAGGTAAGGGAGGCTGCTTCTTCCAGATTTCTTCCCTTTATGCTGATTGTTTTCTGTTGTTGTTGCAGATGCTGTTGCTTTTGGCCAGGAATCTTCATCACCTCTGTTTTCTCTATGTTCACCTGAAGTGAAGTACTATCTTCTCTGGATGTTGCTTCTGCCGACTTGTTGCTTTTCATCTGCATATATTCAAGTTTGTGATAAATCAGAGACATAACATCATCGGCGAAGTCCAGATCCTCCAAGTGTTTTGTGAAAGAGGGTCCATTTTATAGGTGTTTCCTCACTGCCCGGCCTACTTTCCGTCACATTATCCAGTCTACCGCAATCAGAAAAGTCACTGGACATAGTAGGCAGCCTTGTCCTATTTGTTTCATATGTGCTAAGTATTATGTGTCTCATAATTATACCTTTATTTAACCATATTATGAAGTGGGAAAAAACTTTTCTCAGCTTGGTTACAAGTTATTTACATAACTTTCAGAAGTATTTGTTTGTGTATTCACTCTCTAGTTCACTGGTTTCATCTGACAGAAAAAAAAGTAATGGAATTTCAATTGGCTCTCTGTAAATAAGTTTTATACTAAGGCAATTTGTCATGAGAATATTATCTATCACAGGGTTGTTTAGTGAAAATATGATAAGGTGAAAATGACTTTTATGTGATCAATCACAGTTTCTGTTTTCGTAGAATTCAAAATTGACATTCACTCCAATGATGCAACCAATGTAATATATACGGTAAAATGCCTTGCTAAGAATAATGCCACTTTAGCGACTCTTTTGAATATGTGTAAATATATAATTAGAGAGGATACAAGGAGTTCAGAAAGCACATTTGAAATCGCCGGAAAGATATCTTTGCTGAAATTCTTAATTCTCCTCTAATATACTGATGAGCATTTTTCATGAGCAGGGAAATAAAATTTGAAATTACATGGAAATTCAAATCGCAATAAATGCTGATAATCATAAGTGCTATGCTGTGTGTGATATTATCATGGAGTACCTAATTACTGTAACACCTAAGATATCACTTATTCTGTTTTAGGGAAGAAAAGTAAGTATTATTTTGGATTATTAGCATTCTGTTTAATTCATTTTCAGGTAACGTGTCGAACAAAGTTAGCACTTTACACTCTGAGGATTTATGTCGACAAAACAGGAAACAGGTTTCCCTTTTTACTTTTGATTTACAGTACCTATGGCAGCTAGAGAAAACCAAGTAAATTCTATGAAAAATCTAGAGTATTCCACACAATCAAGAATACATACCATCATCTGGAAAATACCTATACAAGCAAGTACATAAATATGGCATGCCCAGACATACTAGTTAAATTTGCCGAACGGTGCTGCTATGGGTATAAGAATTAAAGAGTTTGCACTAAAACACTGAAAAAATGTTAATAGTCAAGCATATATTTATCCAATTTTTGTTTAGGAAAATGTAAGTTGATTATATTTATATATATGTCACTATATTATAAGATAAATTTGCAAAATTATATCATTAAAAGTGTTTTTTTCATTTCCACTCCACTCAGTGCCGTTCATATAGCCACATATACAAAGTTCACTTATGTAATGTTTTCTCTGTTAGATTTACTTAACGATGCATCAGTCACAAAGCTGTAAAGTGATTTCGTTTCTGGTAGTTAACACATATTTCTAGAATTTATTTCTTACTAAATGGTACAAATTCGACTCGTGGTAGACACTCTGCTAAACCTCGCCTAGTTTACTAGTTGGTGATAGGCATGTCAATAGAAGAAAGGTTGGGTGTGGGGCTAGAAACCTCACCCTGTAAGAAATAACACCACGGCTAATGAAATTTAAAAAGCTTAAGGCCCTATGTTCCATCCAGATTGAAATGAATTAAAAAATTCTCACTAAACAACCTAAAGGTGAAAAATCCCGAAAAACTTTAGAATGAATGAAAAAAAGAACAAATCGGCTGTTTATTACACTTAGTGATCTTTTTATTCTGACCTCTGACCGGAAATAATTCTGGAAAATTCTCACACATGTAATATAAATACTTAAATGTACAGCCTAGCTGATGACTTCGTCGAAAAGGAAATTTTCTTCACTGCAACCCATTTTTTATAATTCCTATGATCCAATGTGTATATTCCGTGAAATACTTATTTCTGGTTGATTTTCAAAAGATAGAATGACTTTTAAAACTCCTTGGTATATTTTAGACTTGATGATTAAGTTTCACCCACTATCTGAAGTGATCATTTACTGTGTTGACTGTGCTTCACAGTTGACACAGATTTTTGGGTTCCATCAATTCTAATATCCGTCTGTTATATATATCGGTAATTCGATATCATATGATCGAATTCTAAGACTAAACAGGATAGTTTTTTCTAGAGTAAATACGACTATCCCAATATTTCTAACGATCATTTTATACATTGGCTGCCACATTTTGGCACCAGAGTGTATTGATACTAAAGACCAGCAACACTTGTCTGTAAAAACAAATGTGTGAGACGAATGTTCACACTTTATAGTCTAACTTTATTTCTCCTTTAAATATGAGACTGTAAAGAATGCTTTTTATCTTTTACAGAAAGATTACGGTTCAATCGTAAGTTGTTTGAATACTTTAGACTGTATGTTTCTCATATTGCATTATTTTAGAAGATAAAACTAATCAACGTCATTAGGAACGAATAGTATGTTGTCAATAATAAATAGCCGGTTAACGTTAAAGCGATTGAACAATGTAACATTTTAGGACTAACTTTACATTTTTGTAATCACCGAGATGCCTTCACTTTTGTTTCATATCGAGCTACAAAAACTAGATTCCAGTGATAATACCTTAAAATGATAATCTGCGGGATGAAGAAACTATTTATTTGGTTACCTTACTTCTTATCTAAAACACACAACAAATTTTATAAACTATGTGACCGGAAAAATGTCTCAATAAAATGAAATTATGTTCAAGTTGCTGTTCTGTGGATAAATGCCAGAAATTAATAGTTTAAAAGCTATTCTCTCCATAAGATACTGATTATTTTAATAGAATTTGGTTGCAGTTTATGTAGATTAATTTGAAGATGTGAAAAAAAAGTCGAAAGAATGATATTTATTGATTTGGGTTCATTCAAACCCTAAAGGTTTTCTTCAAGCCTCATAAAACTTCAAATAGACAAAACAGCTTTCAAAAAATAAAACTGTTATATACTCTTACAGTAATGTAAATGTTAAGCATTATATTACGCGGAACTGTTGGAACAACTACGAAATGTATTCATGATGGATAGAAGCACCTTGCTCATACTGAATTTACCATCGAATTATTTGAACGTAGAGGTACGCCGTAATGTATTTTGCGAGAGATAATCTTTGAGAATCAATTAATAGGAAATTTTTTGTTGATCATCTTGGCTTATTCATGTATATCTTCTGTTATGATGCAGACATTACAGAAGCATTGAGATTACAGTGTATTTTTAAGCGCACTCTTACAGATGAACCATAACACCTATTTTCAAGATTTTTTCATTAAGAAGAAAAATGAATTTCTTAAACATAGTTCTAATCATATTATCTTGAAATTTTTCACGACAAAAAGATCAAAGATCTTGTTACTAAAGAGATCAGGATGGACCTTTCCAGTAAAATGTAAACTAATTTATCATGAAATCCTTTAATTTTATTTAAAAACACTTCAGAAGATCGTCATCCTCCTGTATAAAACGTATGAGATGTCAACATCTTTGTTTTAATATAGCAAACATGCTCAACTCATCAATGCAAAATGTGTCTGAGTTACTGAATAATGAAGGATCGCCAAATTATAATGTTCTTTTGCGTCCACTTCTTTCCTGTCCATTTTCCAAGTAAGGACTATTTTGACAGAAAAGTATTATGCTCACAGCTACTGATGTTACTGAAGACAGTGTCAGCTTCACGGATACACCAAGTGGAATAAATACATGTCATGGCTAATTAATTTATTCCTACACATGACTAAATGGTAACTTCGTATTCTTTGGTACGAAGGAAACATGAAAATATTACAGCGACGATACACAGATCATGGGTAGAAGGTAGTGATTACAAAACTATTTGAAATATTCAAAATAAGTTTGAATATTGTAAACAGGTTGTTCAGGAGAGGTTTCCAGATCAATTATTTTGCAACAATAGGTCAGCAGAAAATATTCTTTTCATAATTTTTTATCAAAGCTATATAATAAAAAAAATGTTTTTTAAGTGTTCACAGAAAATATCTGTACAGGATGAGTAATAATGTTCACCAGTAATAGAACATATCCAGTTAAATAACTGGATGAAAACCGGTAAATTCTGAACTTCGGTTGTGTTATTTTACGCGGCTTAAAACAGTAAGTGATGAATGGCTCTCAGAAATGGCTATTATCGAAACTGTAAGCTCTCAGGAGATGGAATGCCGCCGATAAAACTAAGAGATTCAGAATATATAAAAAGTATATTTTTAAGATAAGAGTTTAAAAAAGTAATATGTTGTAAAACAAGTCTAACAAATGTTTAAGAAAGCAGTAGTGAAAGACCGGAGATAAATCACGTTCGTATTGACAGTTTTCACTGTACAGAGAAGATGTAGCTGGAATAACTTTGAATGCATAAATCACACGTCAATTTGGAAGACCCCCACAATAACGCAGAAAAATGTGTAGGAACATGGTGCTTAAGAACTGAGCTATTGGTTAGGCTAATTTCGCTGTTTGACAAACATACTTGATAGTGATCTTGTGTGGAGTAAGTGAATGGTGAATTCGTCTAAAATATCTTTTAATAAGTGAAGCTTTTACCTACTCTCTTGCAGAGGAGCTGGTCACCACTTGGAGTGAGTTATATATAACATGGTCTCAGGATTATAAGTTTTTCGGAATCATCATCCAACTAGAGCGATGGAAGAATAAAATCTGCTAGCAAAAACAAATGACATAATACAGTACTAGAACTAAAGTGTACAAATGGAACTAATGCGTTTTCATAAGATTTATATCCTATTTGAAACATATGAAACAAAATCTTTACATAAGCTAATTGATCAAAGTCCAGTCACTTTTGATAGAGCTGCATATCAATACCATATGTTTTCCCCAGCTTATAATAAATGAGTCAGTTTGTAAAATCTGTATTCATTTATTACACACACTGATCACAGTATGCTAAGCAATACTTTCACATCGCACTCCAACCTTACGAATAAGAATCAAGAATAAATTGATTCCGAGATAGTCACTTTTTTCAATCAGAAACAAAACTTTTGTTAATATGGTGAGAAAAAATACTTCATACACCAGTTGCGATAAGAAAACTTCTGCACTGAAATCATCTAACACGATTTACAATCGACTGTCGCATAATCAAATCTCTATTACCCCCCACCCACAATCTTATCAACTTATAAACTAAATGTGATATTTGATCTTAAGTGTTCTAGTACATTTTCATTACTAGTAAAGTTATTTTGATCCTACACTTTCTGGAAAAAACAAATAAAATAATAAAGCTCATTTCTGAATAGCTTTTCTCATTACATTGTAAAGTTCTCTGTAAATACTGAACACTTTTAACTCTATTCTGAATTAGATTCCTCGTTATTTTATGTAGAAGTCATTTGAAATTTCCAACACAACATCCGGAAAGATTAGTCTTGAGATTTAATTCACTTTGTCAGCATAAGAGGTACATTACGAGTTATATCACATTCTGATTTTTGTTAAAGCTATCCAGTCAACAAAAGAAAAAAAAACTTTTAACAAAATGCTTCAAAAATTAAACTACTAAGTATGTTGACCTTTTCTTCACAGTGAAATAGAAACACAGTAAGAACCATTTTTCGTTTTCTCGAAAACTCCCAATCCAAGTGAACATTTCCATGTTTAATAAGCTTAAAACTCTGCTAATTTCTTGGACAGGGACTAAGAGAAGTGTTTTTACTTAGAGTCCTTGTATACATCAGTTGTGTTTCGTAAAATAGATTGGCGTATTCAGTTATTAAGCAAGAAAATTAAAACGTGTTCACTCTTTTATCGGGCTTTTAGTTGAAACCAGTAATTTTTTCAAAAGGCTGGAAAAGTTTTGAAAATATTATTGTGAACAATGGTCCAAAAATATTCGATTTATTGGCATTGAAGTTATAATACTTGAAAGAAATCTGAATAAATCTAGAAGCGAATTAAGTGAAATTTTATGGTACTTGATATACCGAAGTTGGTGTTGATTCTGAGTTAATGACTATTAAATGGGAAGAAGTATTGAAAATGGTGCTCCAGTTAGACTTGTGACACAATCATATGATTATAGATAATTTAGAAATTTAACAGTACAATTGCTAAATTTGAACAGCTGAAATCTCTGTATCTCTCCGATAACTCTAAACCTGAGTGCAACAATGAAGCAGGTATTATTGCTGTAAAATCGCTCTCTATATATACATATATGCACTAGGTAGCAAATTAATTTTCATAATATAATATTTTACATGGTGTATCTGAGATAAAATTTGAACATAACTATGATCTTCGCTTTGTCTTTGCTAGTTTATACAGACTTTTAGTCAAATTTTATTAGTAAACCCACAAGCAAAACAGTCTATGGTCAAGGTGTTTCACGACATTAGTTAATGTATCATATTCTGGGCTAATAATAAGGTTCATTTTAAGGTCAGCTGGTATAGACTCAACAGAAGCTTCGAAAATCTAATTACGGTTTATACAAAAGCAAACCACTTATTTTGATGTGTTCATGTCGGAAAACTACTTAAGCATTTGTTTTACTTGAAGAATTTCACTTCTCATTGTTATTTCCTAAAGATTCTCGACATTATAAAGTGAAGCTCAGTCTATGAGAATAGAACATTTTTGATGTCATTGTGACCAATATGAAAAGATATACTCTTAAAAATTAATCTGTTGACTACTCAATTCAAAACATCCCACTGTTTGAATAAAGAGCATTGGGTGGAAAAGTTAAGACGTTTTGGCTGGAAAATCTCTCCTGTCAAAACTTTGAATGACTTCCACGATTTGGTATTTACTGATTTATCAATAAGTGTTTAAGGTTAATGAGATATGCTGTGAAAGTGCAGTTATTCTTCAATCACATTTGAGTCCACTAACATTAAAGGGAACCATCTGAGAATAACACGTAAGTTCTTTATTTTTTTTTAAAAGCAACAGCTTTAAATAAAGTGGAAAATCTTATCTCATTTGTCTTTAAACCAATGAATCTGAACTCAGTTTGTTGGTTGAAGAATTAAAATAATATGATTTGTTTTGATTGCCTAGTTTGTAAACTTAAAGTGAAATAATTATAATTAAATTGATAATCATTCAAGGCATGTCATAATTTCAGCAAATTGTCAATTTGTCCCAAACCCAGATTCATTCATTTGTAATCAATTACAAAGGTATGGTAGTACAATCTTTACAAACTGATGACAGTAATGAAGTACAGGTTCGATTTCAGTCAGATAAGAGTGTCATATGAAATATTTTGTACTGTATGAGTAGCTTTTCATATCCTAAATGATTATGAGATGTTCTGATAATTGATGCTTAGAAACTAGAATAGCTGTATGCTTACACAGCATAATTGTAACTCTAAAGGCAAAATTAAACTTACGAAATGGTTAAGCATTCAGTTTAACCGCCACTGTCTAAAGGTGAACCATGAAATCCAAATTTGAATTGTGTCACTGAAGAACTTTACCGTGAAAAAATTCATAAAAATATTCCTAATTATAATATTAGTGAATGTGATTGAATGCCCAAGGCCCCACTATAAAATATTAATAAATGAATGAGACAGCTTGACACACAATTCACTGATGACAACATACATTACAGAGGGAAAAGACTATTAACTGATATCACACTGACTATAATACATTTTTAACATCGATGATTCACTTACTATCAACCTCTGGCTCAGTGAAATAAAATGTAATGTATGTCTTTATAAAAATCCCTTTATCTAATTTTTATGAAATGAAGCGGTTTCGATCCAGGCAAATAGTAAGTGCCACTTCTGATTGATTTTATTCTGTAGTAAAGTATATTTATTTAATTACTAAATTATACAACAAACATTCTCCTATGTTAAAAGAATGATGGTTATAAACAAATTTACATTTATTACATTTTTATGAAGGTTAAAATTAACTAAAAACGTAGATCATTTTCTAGGATCTACCATCGATATTTAGGGAATGCAGCTTGCAGTTAGAGTTTCAAGATAGTTTCTTTAAATGATGATAAGAGTTTCACATGTGTTTTTATTTGTGAAAACAATCAAATTACGATCATAAAATAATAAACTGAGTAGTGCAGTTTGATCTGCAACCCGTGGATTGCAATCGTCTGTCGTAAGTCAGTACATTGCTTGAGTTAGACTAAATTACACCTCAACAGACCTAAAGTGATTTCATATATTTAATCTTACGTCTCTAGCCTTCCATTTAAATAGCTTCATCATATAAAATAAAATTCCTCCACAACAAATAAGAATATGTGGTTAATAAGGTCTGAGATGAGTATACTTGCGAAGTTATAAATGTTGTTACTTTCAAAGATTTTAAAACTGCAGTTGTGAAATAGACATCATAATCATTAAAACTCATAACATATTCGGTGTATATATTCATCAGATGAATGAATGTCTTGACCGCCGTGAAACAAGTTAAAGTGAACCTGCCAATGAGTACAGTAATCACTGAAGTACAATCTGACCACCGCTATGATAATCCTGTTTAGTACGATAGGAAGCACAAGTTCAGACAACTGGTATACATGACTGATCAAAAAGCCACTGGAAAGCATCTAATAAAAACACACTGCTTTATTTGATTATTGAAGTGAGAAATATATAAACTGCCGTTTGGAATCGATAAGAAAACTATCTAGGGGAAATGTTCAAAGTTACGTTGGTATGGCCAAGTACCACCACTTTATGCTATTTTAGGACTTCAAAAATCGATACAATCTCTCAGAATTCTAGTAAGATGGTGTCATTCACATATATAATGCAGAGATCTGATATAACAACAGAATAACTACAGCTCATTCCAACGATGAAAAATGTGGTTTGAAATATCTACTTCTGATTTGCGTAAAAACATCACACTTTGCCACTTACTTGAAAAGAATATGCAAGAGTCGTATTGAGTCATAATCACTTATGAAACATTGTAATGTGAGTTAGGACTTTGTAAATCTATTGACAATGCGTTAACTGATTACACTCACCAGATAATTTCCACAAAATATAAATGACCACAAGTATTTTTTCTGTGTTTAGTCTTAACTAAAAGTCGTACAATTTAAATGACTATCTTTTCTTAATATCAACTCTCAATTTTCAGTGTACAAACGCCTTTTACCGCCAAGTAAGTATTAATTTTGATGAGAATGTAACCAATAATTCCCGTTAGAAGAAAAAATATCTAAATCGATATATTCTAGTATTGGTTTGTAGAGACTTAGTTAATTGGCTACAGGATTTCACCAAGAGCTGACATCGGTTAGAGAACCATTTGGAAACCACCTGAAAGTACTGAACTGCTGTTTTCTATGTCCTGGTTTGCGACTCTTCCTCAGTTCCCACCCACCGGAAAGTTTCGAACCCAGGACCTTCTGCTTACAAGGCGAGCTCGTAGACCGTTAACCCAGTGAGACCCGATCCAATGACCAGTCCATGAATTCTAACTTCTGTCAGTTGTCGAAATAGCGCGACCACTTCGCAACGTCTTCGGCAATTTTTAGTCCTCACGTCCGACATGCTTGTGTAACTGTTTAAATACTGAAAAAGTTCTTTAATAATAATGTGTAATGTATAAGCTTATGAAGTCACTAATACTAGTATTCGATAATCATTACTTACAAAATTCACTGAATTCTCCTTATTAGCTCTTAGATTTCATTATTTTTCTAATGAAATTAACATAAAGGAAACAAGAGGAATATAACTTCACTATTCTCCCCAGCATTTATTAAGGTTATTTTGGACAACATGCTATTTGTAGGCTGTGTAAAAATTATGAGACACTATTCAGTGATATCATTCTAAAGCTGCACAATCTCACACATATAATACATCGCCAGAGGAGTGTCATTAAAACTGTAGATTTTGGGATGTCAATCACTAAATACAGAAAGCACTAACTACGTAGAAACCAAAACAAAAGTGAATTAATACATTCAATAACGTAACATGTTTGGCAAGTTTGAGTGGAGTTCAAATAAATTTCAAGGAGGATCAAAATTAGATTAATGTCATGAGGAGTAGATATGCATTAGTGACAAAGAAGCGGAAAACTAAATTAAGATTTAAAAAAATTACGCGTTGAATGTTAAGAAATGACTAGGTCCATTGTGGGTTCAGTGGCTGAAGAAACTTCTTCTGCCTACAGAGTTTGGGATTTAACATGTGAAATGCCAAAGCTTTCTTGGTTTGAAGAAATTTGATTCATACTTCTTTGACAAGGCTTCCGCATATTATGCAGATGACTCTGAAGTTGGTTAGCGAGTTCCACAATAGGGCTGTAGAGATCTTTGTTTTCCTCTTTAAAACTCTGAGTCTTTTAGTCTGCATACACAGTGGCTGCATAAATTATCGCAAGTCGACCACTGCGTATTTCTGTCCGTAGTTCTAGTAGTAACTTGCACCAGGAAAGCACAATAAAATGTAAGTCCTCATAAATTTATATTTGTGGTTAATAATCATAGAATCTAAATGAGTCTCATTTCAAATGGTTAACTTTCAATTTTCAGTATTACGACCGAATATTTAAAAAAGTAAGTACTAATTATATTGTATATTTAACCAGAAAGACGTGTCATTAATTTTTGTAAGAAGAGAGAAAACCATCTACATGGATATTTTCTCTTGTAACTGTTTAATTTTAAGGCAGAAAATTCATTATGAATAGTATTGTGTAATGTATAAACTCATGAAATCACCAGTACCAGTGAATAACAATAATGACTTATTAAAGTCGATAAATTCTTTCTATTTCTCCTTGGATTGCATAATTTTCTCTATAAAATCGTATACCTTTGATGTAAGTATGATTTGTGCAGACTACACTAAAATAAAAACAAATAATTTTGCAGACAGCTTTTTAAAAGCCAAATGTAAGTATCACTCTTTGAAAATTGATCATTTATAATTTGATGATACACACAATTCATACTGCATTATATAATTCACATTTCTGCTCACCTGAGTGATACTTAGCCAATAAGATTGATGTGACCAGTGAAACTGAATAGACTTGTTTAGAAATAGTGCAAAAGTCCTGAGTGTATCTTCCATGATCAGAAATATCTAATTAGCTAGTAATATTTGATGTAATACTTGGTGTAAACTTTACCTGATTGACATGCAGCTGTGATAAAATCTACCTTTACACTGTCTGAGTCCTACACGAGTCTTTCAAATAATTTATCCAAAATTCAGCTTATTTAGACACAAAAAACTGAGCAATACACACCGTTTGAAAAAATTCTAATGAAATGCAAATGGTTTATGCAATATCGAATATATACATAGGTATAAATATGTATCCGGGTGGTTAGCGGCTATAGTTTTCATCAAACTACTCACCGACTAACTGTCATTTTGAAGAATCTGTATAAACTCAAATACACTTGTCAGACAGGACCCAGTACAACGTTACAGGAGATGAAACAGTCAGGTATGATGTCGTTAATTTGTAAAACCATAAGTAAATAATTCCTTTCAGCATAGTTATATTGTAATAAAAGAACACAAGGGCCAGGCAAGTGATCGTTTATTGATAAAATCAAGAGAAATTTATAGATTTTTATGTGCATTATTATTAGTGTTATTGTTAGCCGAGAAGCAGTTTCTCCTGACTAGTTGTCTTCTTGTCTTCTTCTTCTTCTGTTATCTCTTTGTGGCCGTTTCTCGGAAAATCAAGCTGTATGTCTGCGAATCATATTTCCATCCTTAAACTCCGCTGTGATTTATTGGTGATTTTCTCAAGGTTAAGCTTTGTTATTCTCTTTCACATGACCCTGATTAGGGTCGTGAACGTCGATGAAAACTGTTGCCTACAATTTTGACTTGCAGCCAGCTCTCACCACAATATTACTGGACATAATGGCAATAGATATGATAGAGAAGATTTGTAGCTCAGGTGGATAATTTTGATGTGATGAAAGCTTCGCAAACTAACTATCCAGCTCAGAGAACAAAACCACATCAAAATTATCCACCTGAGCTACAAATCTTCTCTATCATATCTAAATCTTACGAGCGGGATACGCTTCTCTCTGTTCGAAAGTGGGAAGACTTCGCCAAAAGGCAAGGATCCACCAGAGAACAATTATTCTTTCTCCATGAGTGCCTTCGTCATTCAATCCTACCAAACAGTGTAAGATACAAGCCACCAGTCAACTGCCCAATGGGATGGAAATTGGCCGAACAATGTGGAAGACGAATGGTCAAATTAATGATTACGGACGCACATTATCGGATCAACAAATATCAACAAATAATAGATGTCCAAAAAGCAAAATTAGAGAAAACCCTCAACCAAGAACACCTGTCAACGCTGATCACCGCAATTACACTGTCAAGTGGAAAACACAGAGAACAAAGACGAAGAGTCCTCAAAACCAAGCTAGCCAAGATTAGAAAACAACAACCAGACAATACGCCCATAGACTGCGTAGTCAACCTATCAAAACAACCACTATCAAAAATGGAACAACAACTACTACAAAAAGGATTAAACTACAACACCGGAGATGCTTCAAAAACTGATTTCTTCGCTGCCCTTGAATCATTACTCAAATCATCAAACTTGAACGAGGAAACACAGGAAGAGATACGCCAAACAATTGTACCAATGGTCAAACAGAAAAGACAACACACACAACTCAACTCTCAAGAACTAAAGGCCCTCAAAAAGCTGAAAAATAGGAAGGACATCGTCATTTTACCAGCCGACAAAGGAAGAACAACAGTAGTCATGGACAGAGAAGAATACACCAAGAAAGCTGAAGAACTACTCAAAGATGAAGATGTATATCAACAACTCCCAACAAATCCCATACAAACATTGGACAACCGCATCCAAAGGACCTTAAACAAGCTCAGCAAAACTGGACAGATCACAAAACAAGACCAATGGCGAATGAAATCCAATGGACCAGTCCTACCTCGATTCTACGGCAGACCCAAAATACACAAGGCAAATATCCCGTTACGACCAATTGTATCACTCCCAGGAACTCCAACATATAATTTGTCCAAGGAATTATACAGAAAACTAAAACACCTAACGGAATCCTGTGATCACTCCATCAACTCTGCTATCCAATTCCTAGAGAAAATCAGAAACATCCAAATAGATGAACAAGAAATAATGGTATCCTTCGACGTGACAGCATTATATACCTCTATCGGACAAAAACTAGCAAAAGAAACCATGGAGCAATTACTTAGCAACGACGAACAACTTCCACAACAATCAAAAATGCAACACACAAGCTGGATGGAATGCATAAATCTATGCCTAACAACATACTTCCAATTCAACGGCCAAATATATGAACAAGTCAAAGGAACACCCATGGGATCGCCAATATCAGGTTTGATTGCAGAAGCAGTGATGCAAAGACTCGAAAACATAATTCTACCAAAGATCAAACCCAAGATTTGGATACGCTACGTCGACGACACATTTGTAATAATCAAAAGAAACGAATTAGACAAAACTCACAACTTAATAAACAACGTCTTCAACGACATCAAATTCACAAGAGAAGAGGAATCCGAGAACAAAATACCATTTTTGGACGTCTTAGTCAGGCGAACAACTACAGGAGAATTAGAAACTCAAGTTTATAGGAAATCAACTCACACAGACCAAATACTGAATTACAACAGCAACAACCCAATAGCACACAAAAGGAACTGCATACAAACACTATTCAAGAGAGCAAGGACTCACTGCAGCACTCCCACCTTAAGAAAAATTGAAGAAAAGTATCTCATGGACGTCTTCCAAAAGAATGGATATCCCGGAATTTCATCAAGAGACATATACCCCCAAGCCAACCTACCAAAACAAAAGCCACCAAGGAAAACACAAAGAAAATCGCCTTACCATATATAAAGGATATCTCAGAAATCACTACAAGACTCTTCAAACCTTTAGGAATTGACGTCGTACACAAACCAACAAAGTCGCTGCACTCAATTCTATGTCAACCAAAAGACTCAACAGCAAAAGAAGACAAAACCAACATCATCTACAAAATAAACTGTAACAACTGCGAAAAACACTACATTGGCCAAAGTGGACGTCCCCTTCGTCTTCGTATCCACGAACATAAGCTAGCCGTCAAAAGACATGATATCCACTCCCTCATTTCACTACACACAGACAACCACGGACATCAATTCGACTGGGACAACGTTCAAATATTAGACAAAGGAAATAACAAGAATGCTAGAGAATTTTTAGAAGCTTGGCATTCCAGTGAATCATCAATCAATAGACACATCGAGATAGACAAAATTTATCAACCAATAAGAAAGAAACTTCACACACGATTGGCCAAAGTTCAAGTCACAGAAACAATCAGTTCCAACACAAGTAACCTAGAAGGTGTGAAAACATACATAAACAACCAATCACGTCCAAGGTCACCAGGAGGAATGATTAATAAACTCGTGGAGAAACCTAAAAGCTCACTTCAATTTGAAGTATGCGCTGAAGATGTCACCCAGTAAGGTGATGAAAGCTTCGCAAACTAACCATCCAGCTCAGAGAACAAAACCACATCAAAATAATGGCAATAATAATGAATACAATAAGTATTTCATTTTTCTTTATAGTATAACCTCCAAAAGAACAATGGAATTAGAGTAGTATCGTTTTGGAGTGGATTTCAGAAGCCTGATGTAGTCGACCGCTTGACTTGTTCAGGTGATAAGGTCTCGTGAAGATGAATCCGACAGTTTATGTCCATTGTCCATCAGTTGATAAACTTTGGTTTATCTTGCTTTGACTTTACCTCCTAATCACTTAGATACCTATTTTTATTCATGGTTTACGTTTACGCTGATCATTAAACTCCTGAGAGTATAATCATATTTAAATAATCAAACAATTAACAAGTGTGTTAGAATATAACAATGACTGTGACAAGTTTTCACAGATTTTTATCAGCTAGATGCTTATTTCATAGTAAAATAAATAGACATATATACATCCTTTTTGTAAGTATGATGCGTCAAAAGGAAGATCAACCTTTATCGTTAAGTCCTGGTGCATTTAGTCTTTGAAAAATACATTAATGAGATTAAAATACCCCATTTTCAGTGTTACGCTCAAGTCTTTCCAAGAGGTGCTCGTCATATGTCCATTTATACTGAAGGAAATAGAACGAATAGCAATTCGAGATAAAAATAATGAATTGGTGTATGTTTATTTTTTTACTGATAAGTAACTATTAAATAATATACTGGTTTAGACTGTAAACTATAAATGTAGGCGCCAACTTTTATAAGTAAACATTAGCTAAATTGTTCACATTAATTTCATCCCAACAATGCATTTCATGATGGTCTTCAGATTCAGACAATAAATCTGATTTTTAAAATTTAAGCTATAAAAATACCATTATGAAGAGAAATTGTAACTGGTCATCGAATATGTCTAAATATTAATTGCCTTTCAGTTACCTTTCCCACACGAAATAAAAGTCTGTGTTGATACTAAGGTTGTCTTGCTTCAGAAACACCTTCAAACAGTGTTCGTATATTCAAGATATATTCAATAATTAATTATTTCTTTCCAGTTGTGATTGTTATCTTACAGTGTAAGTTCACAGCAAAAGACAAAAATCAAAATGCTTACAGTACAATAACCAAATATTCACCTAAAACTCTAGAGTATTTACCACAAATGCCTTTTCAAATATTTCAATATTCCCATTATTAATATTAGAAAATACACATAATCGAACAATATTGTTTTCAATTAGATCTTCTCCAGGCTTTGCTCTTATTTACATAGATTTATTTACATAAAAATTTTAACCAATGACGGTGATTTAGTCGATCAAATAATAATGATAATAATAATGATAATGTGGTAAATGTTTTGATCGCCATTAATAATGATAATTATAATGACAATGTCCAACTGAGCAGAAGAGAGGATAGTTCACTCAAGAGAGATGTCTATAGAAAACCTACATCTGCAGGATAATATACACATTTCCTTGGTTTCGTACCAATCTGATACAAAATCACTTTGGTCAGATGCCTCACGAATACAGCAAGATGGATCTATACAGATAACTCCCTAGAAAATGAGTTAGAATACATCCAAAATACGCTGGTCCAAATCGGTTATCCTAGTTGATGCGAACGTGGCTAGTGAAGTCTTACATCTAAGATTATCGAGAGCAATAAAACGGACTTATACTGCCACCACCGCCCTTTGTTTGTCATTTTTCAGCTGCCCATCAATCACGATTGCTGAAGCGAAAGACAAGCTACCTAACTGTATCACTTTTATATGTATCTACAAATTAAGTTGCTCTTGTGGAGAAAGCTGTATGGAGTGAACAACTAGACTGTTCAACAAACGCATTTAATTAGACTGTCTGCTAATGATTTTCCAAGACGTTCACCATATCCACAGCCTAGACACTGATAGAACCTTACACCATTATAAGTCATTTTAAGTGAATTGAAATCACATTCTGATTTACTTGATCTAATATTTAAAAATGTTTTTAGTCACAAAACTGCACTGAGAGCGTGAGTTCTTAATAAGTTTGGAAAATAATTTGTGTTCTATGAACAATTAGAGATCTAATAGCTACACTCTAGTGAGCATGTGTGTAGCGTTATTATTTCTTGAAACTTATTAGTTTAGCAAACTATTTCTAGCTTCATTTAAAACATCATGGTACAGATACCTATTCATAAATGACGCTTTGGTAGACGGACTGAGGCACAAATTCTTTTGTTTACGGGTTAAAATCACACCTAAACTCCAAGCAAAAGCAATTCACACATGGGTGTCAGAGTGATAGACTTTCTGAGATGGTATTAAAAGTATCTCCAGGAGTTGTTTACTGTATACGGAGCTATTTTCACCAAGGAAGTGACGTTTCATTTAAACTAATTACTGACGACTGCGTTACTTGCCATCTGCATGGGATTTGACATGTCTAATTTGATCATACAGGAAATCAACCGTTGCTTGAAAGGTCTTGTAGTGAAATACTGTCATCAGAAATCGATGCTTTGCTGATAAGTGCAGAACTTCACTTCAGTCCTGCTAGCATTTGAAATCAGATTGCATTCAAGTATGAACCGGTGTCATGTAACTTGCTTGCTTGTTGTTTACATAAAATATTTAACTAAAAAATGTTGATTTATGTGTTATATTGCAATCTGATACACTAGTTTTCATGAAAGAACCATTTCGTCTTCAGATCGCTCGTATTTTCTTCAAATTTCGTCATATATAATGTTTAACGTATGCTAAGGGGTAAAATTATGCTAACCGATATAAGCATTTCATAAAGCTTATACATTACTTTGTAAAACTAGTGGTTATGGAGCAAATAAAAACTTAGTGAATAGTTTCATTAGCATACATATTTGCTCGTCGACTTCAAAATCTCATCACGAAAAGAAGACTTTCTTTCGACCTTATTTTGTTCATATTGTGCTAGAAGGTGAATTAACTGGTCAGTCCACGATATGACTGTCTATAAATATGAATCCTAAATGGCATATGGGTTTTGACGGAAAGGTCTGGTACTATGTTAATTTAGTACGCTTTGACATAATGGCCAATACAGACGGAAACAACTTGTTTATCATATTTTCATACATTATTGTCATTTTAATGACGGCTTTCAATATTCTGTTAAACAGAGCGGGGACTGCAGTAAGAATGTAAGTTTATTTACTTATGGGTTATTTTGCTAATATTGCTAAGTTTGAATTTACCAATAAAAAGAACATGAACTGAATAAATCTCGTTGATTAACCACAGATTATCAGCACATATGCATAAAACATTTGGTTACAGGATGTCATCATTAGCTGACATCGATTAGAAAACCATCGGAAAACCTAAGATCATTGAATAGCTGTTTAGTCCTAGTCTGTGACTCATTGGTTTAGTGGTCTACGAACTCGCCTTGTATTCAGGCGGTGTTGGGTTCGAACTCTGTTGGTGGATGCGTACTGCTTAATAGTCCTAAACTAAAACGGATGAAACTGTTGTGCAGTACTCCCAGGTTTTCCAATGGTTCTCTAACAGATGTCAGGTCATGATAAAATCCTGTGACTAATCAATCGAATTCCTACAAACCAATACTTGAACATAAATCGTTTGATATAAGAATAGTACTCGCGCACTGTAGTAGAATATAATTCCATTGTGGGCGAAAGTTATTTTGATAAAGTCTCATAGTGTTATACAGTAATATTTACTGATGACGTTTCCAGCACAATTTATTGCTCATAATCACATCAAGATATGATGATATGATTACGAGCAATAAATTGTGCTGGAAACGTCATCAGTTAATATTACTGTATAACACTATGAGACTTTATTAGAATAAATTTCATCCATTTAAAGTTTATTCTAAAATACCAACTAACAGTGATGTCCTCAAGTTTCGTTTTATACTCAGCCATTAAAGTTTCAGTTTTTTATAAACGCATGAAAACTCACAGCTTTTACATAGGCAGATACAAATCACAATTCACTAACTGTTTGATACTTGACTTACCGACACTTTCCACTTGATCAGCTGTAGTTAACCTGTTTAAGAAGTACCATTGTACTTACAGTCATATAAGTAGTATACAAATGGCAGATGTGTGCCAATAAGAACATAATTTTATGTATGTTTTCCTAACATGTGGTCTGAATATCTGAAAACCATAAAATACAAGATGAGTGTATGTCATTAAATTTAAGGATAACTTCACTATGTGATTTTTGAGCACTTTTAGGATATGAATCATTCTATTCAAGGAAATAAAAAGGTATAGGAAAGAAAACAAACAAACGAATACTCGATAAATATATTGATTTTTTATTCTAAAAATACCTCTGCAGGTGGAATCAAGGTGTAAAAGAGTAAGTGGAGACTGTTCTCCTCAGTAAAATAAATCGAATTTTACAAATCAATAAGTTATTAGGGTATTAGAAGCTTGAACTTAAGTCATGGAGATGGGATAAATTTTGCTTCATATACAATTTGTTTCAACCTGTAGGAGATATTTCGTCCGGTTTGCATTAGTACTAAGGTACAGAACACCTCCAACAATATTCTCACGTAAAAACTGAAATATATACGAAAAGATTAATAATTGAAAGTGTAAAATGAATGAAGTAGATAACCATTGATGAAAGTGAAAAATAAGGATTCTGAATTCTGGAATCTACTAACCAGATGTTAAAAAGTTAGAAACAGGAATAAATGGGAAATATTTAAACAAATAAACAACCTACAAATACATTTTTCAATGACTAGCGGTAACAGTTAGAATTATTCAGTGCTATGCGTAGTGCTATAAACAACTTGGAACAGGAGAGGAAGAAGAAGAAAGATTTCTATAGACGACTGTGAACAGTAATGGACAACATACCAAATGGCAGCATCGAAATCCTTATTGGCGATATGAACGCCGGCAGAAATAGGAGCAGACAATAAGGGAATAGATCTCCATGGGTCGAGAGGCTCTCGGAGAAATTAATGACTGTATAGGACACTTATCAGATGTCTACTCCTTCAATGATTCGGTGATTCGAGGCAGTGTGTACAAACACAAGGAAGTACACGAGGCAAAATGGAGGAGTGTTGTTGAAGCCCTATGTTCCACATGGAACCCAAGAGAACAATAATACTACTAATAATAACAGCAACAGTATGTACAAAACGCTGAAAATGTGAAATCGCCTTAAAATAATAAGTTGATACATCTGAGTAAACAATTAGTAGTGACTTACGTCTTTGTTTGACTAAACTATTTCATGCATCGATATAATTATTCTGTACTGCATTAAATGATCATTCTTAGTGCTCACCTAGTTTAACAGATCAAGAGTACTTCATGAATGTCAGACTTCATAAACATCACCAAACTACTTTTCCACAGATAACTGAAGAAGCTATGACAATTTTACAGAACATACCTTATACTGAGAATCCATTACTGTTTTCTATGCAGCAACCTGAATTACATGCTGTAAGTTTAATACCGATTACAAAATAAATTCTACCAACCGCATCAAGAAAACATTTTGTTTTTCATTCCTTCACATTCCGAGTGGAACAGAGAGCTTCAAGTTGTAAGCTTTGAAGTTTAAATAGCGGTGTTGTTTTTACAGGTCGCTAGCCTCAATCTGAACCTTCCCTCTTTTCCAGATCTTCCACAGGCTAGGAAAGGTTTAGGAATACGCTGAACGAGAATCGAACCACGAGAATATGCGTGGTTAGTCAGCAGTGTAACCCTGAACTACTAATATAACATGATTTGTGTTAGGTGGTTGAAAGTAATCATCAAGAAGCCCTGGACTTAGGCTTCGTGCTTGTTAGCACTCATCAGCAAGGCGTATTTGTAACCTTGAAGTAACGGATATCCCTTATGAGATCCAAATAGGCATCATTTAGTGCTTCAGTTACAGACGTCTCATATAAGCTAATCGGGCGCATTCAGAAAACATTCTAAAAATTAAATTCACCTATATATTTAGTTTTATAAAATGTCTCCAAGGAAAACAGAGCGATGATTAACAGTTCCTGATTGACGCAGAGTATCCTTAAATAAATTAAAGACATACTGTCCAATAAATTTTCATCTAAACAAAGTAACGTTAATACAAAGCTATTACAATTTTCTTGCTCTCTTCTTCAAACTAGTCCTTTCGAAGGAATTACCGAGTAAGCCATCTATTCTTATATATTCATCATCAATTATATTGGTGTAAAACATGTTGAGGCAATAAATAAATGAGAGGTGATTGGATAACTCATTGACTTCACTAAAATTATGTTCAACTGAGAAGTAATAACAATAAGGACATATTTATTTCAGAGTACCTATAAAAGAGTATACATAAGGCACTGTGTAAACAAATGCTAAACTCAACAGAGTTCACTGTGAAATGTCTTCAGCAGTATTAGATTCAGTCACTCAAATACTCAGAATGGTAAATACAGTTCTTGTATATTTCATCAGTACCTTCTCTTATACTACTTGTATATGCCCACTTAGTTGTATGTATACTTGTAATAACGAATTTCCATACTTTATTTCATTATTTAGGTTAAGTGATGAAGCACTGATCCAGACCTAACTACTATAAAACTGAAACCATAACTTTGAATCTTCGAATAACAGGAACTATAAAACTTTTCAGTTAAAAAGAATCTAACCTATTTCTGACTTCTTTTGTTCTTGTTTTTCTTTTCATTAAAATATAATTGTAACTGCACATCAATTTTTTGTTTTTTGTTGCGGTGTCGCATCTCTTCTTCTGTTGTGTTGTTCTGATTGCTTTATTCATTGTTTTCCTAGTTCTAACATACCCTTCTCAGACTTGAGGTTAGCAACCCCGCCCTGTAAACAAAGTTGCTACAGAGACTTCAGCAAGATGAGTCTCCTTGCGACAAAAGAAAAGTCTGTGAGGGGACACAGAACATCCGCACCATGTGTGAGACTAGAAAAGCTGCCTAGATTGCAAACGAGATGAAAAAATATGGAATTCAAGTACTGGGAATATGCGAAAGCAGATGGAATGGGAATGGACTCACCAAATGGTCAACGGGAGAATCAGTGATCTACTCCGGTCACCAAGAAGACAACCACGAGCACACAGAAGGTGTGTCTATCATGATATCACCAACGGAAACTAAGGCCCTCATACAATGGGAGGCAATCTCGCCCAGAATAATGACAATCACGTTCAACTCCAAAGAAAGGAAAGTGTCAGTTATACAATGCTATGCATGCACAAACAACTCAGACCTCGAAAAGAAAAAAGAATGACAATACTCCATATAAATACATTAAAATACTAATGGGAGACATGAACGCCTAACTGGGACCAAACAACACAGGAAGGGAACTCATCTCGGGTAGAGAAGCTTTGGGGGAAATGAACGAAAATGGAGAACTCTTCGCCGACTTCTGCGCCTTCAATGAACTCGTGAATGGTAGCAGCGTATACAAGCAAAAGAATATCCACAAGGCTACATGGGTGTCACAAAACGAGCGAACCACATTCCAAATTGCCTTCATCTCAATGCTGCTCAAGGAAGTGGAGGGGCACCTTACTGGACAAAAAAGCAAGAAGAGGAGTAAACGTTGGCTCAGACCACTACCTCGTATAAGGAACATTCCAAATCATATTAAAAGCTTTCAGAGAAACAGGAGCTGCAGAAAGACCACAAGCCAAGTTCAATACTCAAAAACTGAAGGACCAAGATACAAAGGACATCTTCACAGCAGTCATAAGGAAAACGGCGGAGACACAAATCAACACTAACGAAGTGACCAGCGTTGGAAAACACTAGAACGGTCTGAAAGCTGTGTATCCAAACCTGCATGGAAATTCTAGGCATAAGGAAAATACAGAAGAAACACTGACTCACTACGGACACTTAGAGATTGGTAGAAGACAGAAGGATGGCGAAACAAAGGATTATCCAGTGCATCGACAAGCAACAAAAACAGGATTTGAACGTAAATCACAATACACTAAACAAAAGAGTAAAGAAGAGTCCCAGAGAAGACAGATGAAAATATTAAGAAGATATGGCATGTGAAGCAGAACAAGCTGCAGTGCAGGCAAAGGAGACCTCGCCACACTCTACCAAACAACTAGGAACCTATCGGTCAAAAGTTCGACACAGATTGACCCAGTGAAGGATGACAATGGAAAGTCAATCATCAAAGAGGTGGAGCAAAGGAGAAACTGGGCTGAACACTTCAAGAGACATTTAATCGACCGCCACCTACAACGTGCCCTAATAATACCAGCAGAGGAAACAGAACTACCAGTGGACATCAACCCTCTGACGAGAACAGAAATCCTGAAGGCAATAAAGATGCTAACAACCGGAAAAGCATCAGGATCAGATGGAATACCAGCAAATGCATTGAAAATGGACCCAGAGACATCAGCGGACTTGATGACGCCATTACTGGAGAGGGTGTGGAAAGAGGGCAGGGTACCTGAGGATTGGAAGAAAGGATACTTATCCAAACTTCCAAAGAAAGGGAACTTAGGTTAATGCAAGAACTGGTGCGGTATGATGCTCCCGTCCATCCCAAGCAAAATACTAAACCGTATCATCCTGGAGAGAATCAAAGATGCCGCCATGGATGAAAAACTTTGACCGGAACAAGCTGGTATCAGGAGAAACAAGTCATGTATTGATCAAATCGCTACACTACGGATCATCATTGAACAAAGCTTCGAATGGCAGTCAGCTCTCTATCTCAACTTCATCAACTTTGAAAAGGCCTTCGATAGCGCAGAGTCAATGGAGAGGTGATTTGGCGACTACTTCGCTACTATGGGGTGCCGCCAACAATTATACATCTCATCCAACAGTTATACAACAATGCTGCATGCCAAGTAATCCACAACGGGAAACTTACGGAAGCCTTCGAAGTGAGGTCAGTAGTGGGGCAAGGTTGTCTACTATCGCCAATGATCTTTCTTACTGCAGTAGATTGAATAATGCGACAGACATCGGGCAATGAGGAAACAGGCACAAAATGGATTCACACAAAGAACTTGGAGGATCTGGACTTCGCCGATAATATGCAGGTGAAAAGCAACAAGTTGGCAGAAGAAGCATTAAGGAAAGGCCTTCAGGTGAACATAAAGAAAACAGAGGTGATGAAGATTCCTGGCCAACATCAACAGCAACTGCAACAACGACCGACAAAAATCAACATAAATGAGAGAATTCTGAAAGAAGCAGCCTCCCTTACCTACCGACCTGAAATGCATTGTTTCGACCACAGGCGGACGGAACTGATGAGGATATCAAAGCAGCGAGGATCGGGAAAGCAAAGCAAGCTTTTATTTCTCTCAAGTTTGTGTGGAGGTCAACAACACTACTCAGCATGAAGAATAAGATCCTGGTTTCCAACTCCAATGTGAAGTCAGTGCTACTATATGGATCAGAGACTTGGTGCGTCATGAAGAGCACCTCAAACAAACTACATAACTTCATCAACAGCTGTCTTCGCTCAATACTCAAGATCAGATGGCCGGCCAGAAAAGATCAGCAACAGGGATCTCTGGGAGTGAACCAACCCACCAGGAACCGATTGCGCAACAAATGTGCAGGAAGAAATGGAGGAGGATTGACCATCGGGTGACATCACATGACAGGCTCTCAAGTGGAACTCGAATGGGGAGCGGTGATTTGGTCGTCCAAGGGTGACTTGGAGGAGGTCATGCGAAGAGAAGATGAAAGTAGGTGGGAAGATGTGGGGCCAGGTAAAAACGTTGGCAGAGAAGGAAACGCAATGGAGACGCGCGGCTGAAGCCCTATGTTCCTCTAGGAATTAAAGGAAACAATAATATTCATACATCAACTGTCTTATAAGCTTATGAGTTAGAATACTAGGAATGTATGCCAAAACGACAAATTTCCACTATCGACGCATGAGGACGAGTAACACAAAGGGAACATGTCAGTACGGAAGTCAACTAAAGCTATTATTTCGTCACAGATAATAGTTTGACATCTCATGATGCATTAAAATGTGACCACTCGGTATTTTCAAGCAAGGTAAACGTTGTGGAATATAGAAATGAATCCTTCTCATGAAACCTGAGTATTTTTATGGAGTCTTAGTATTCACAAGTAATTCCAGAGGAGTTCATAAGAGGATACAAAGTAACCACAGCACTGAGACCTATTCTTCAATATGCTACTAAAAGGATGTATTATTCTATCTATCCTTCATAGCGGATTATAGTGGCTTGATGCCAAGACGAAGACTGATTGGTGCAGTCAGAATGACTTTTCATATAGTATAGATCTGGATAACTGAGTATGTGAAGCCCATATACCTGTCTAAGCCATTAGAATATGGCAACAATGACATTATATCCCTGTGTATTTGTCTGCTTAAGTTTTCGTGTGGTCACATAAACAGAGAGGACTCATCGAACTCTGAAAGCAAGGTCTACAAAACGTATTTCCATGTGTCTTTTGTAGCAGCTCCAATCCTCAGAAGCCATCAATGCTGAAAATAGATAACCAAGCTCATCTAACGTGAAACATATCATGGAAACAACGCAAAAATTGATGCTTATACATCTTTTAAATACATCTGTTACAGGTGTTTCGAGCATATCCTAAAGTTTGTGGAGACCGTAGCGATTAAGAAGTTCAACCCCCCATTAGGTATTCAAAAGTAGTTTGTCATCAAATTAAAACTCCTTTGGTAATTTTGTTTCAATATAAAGACTGATATGTATTGCCATCCCACCTTCTTTTAGTTCACTGATCTTCATTGTTTTCCTAACCTTCAATAACGCCTTTGAATCTGACCTGTCTATTCGCTCACCCCTTAACTCTTTATCCCTCTGCACACAAATTCCTGTGATAAATATGTGTGTAATCAAATTATTCCAAATGTTTTGAGTAAATACATTACACAATTCAGGTAAACTGTCTTCTTGTTGTTTTGTCGAAATTATTCTTTAAAATTGCTTAGCATGAAGATCTGTTAGCCTAGTGGTTATTAGCATGAATGTGATAACTATAATGACAAGATTCTGCAAATGTCTGTATCATAATCTGTTTTAGGTGAAGTTATTTTAGTTGGTGGTAATTAGCAGTGAAATCCAGAATATGCATTTCGTCCTATGCCGGACTCACCAGACTGATGCATTCCCTGTGAGTGATAGTATTCTCACTGAGACTCGACCTATGCACTGATTGTTTCAAGAGCCAAAGGAATATCCATTAGACCCTGATGGCAATGAGAACCAGTTATTATTGGCTTTTAAGGTAATTTAGCCTTCCCTATTTCTTATATGAAAATCTTGATGGTCCGTCATTATGAATATGTAAAGAGATAGTATACGTGCGTATGGGTAGGCCGTAAAAGCACTGTTCTCAAATGGCAATTAGACAATAATATATTCGGTTCTGCAGCAGTTTGGGAAACTATGTACTTGAGATTGAATTTAATAATAATAATAAAGACAGTGGTGCAAATCAAGAAAAATACTTACTGTTATCAAGTACAACGAGGATTGACTCAAAAATGGCACCGACAATCTTTAGAAAACTAATTGGTATAAAAGTTACATTGACAGGATTTATTATTTATGTCCCTCATTTATTAAATAAATTCAACATCACCCTTCGGACTGTGCCTAGACTGCTTCAGTAAGCTAAGTATGAATACCAACTCTCTCTTTACCTTGTATCAAATATCGGATATATTGGCCAGTTTGGGTTA